CAATGCAAAGATACCCTGTAGCAAGGTCCCTCCTCCGTCTCGTGGCAAGATGACCTGCAAGGGGGCTGGCCAGGAGCACAGCAAAGGCTGGACTTGCAGTCCACAACCGGCGCCGGGTCCCCATGGTTCCACCAAGGCAACCCAGGATCCCGGGAGACAATAGACTTCCATGGCCAGGTCCAGGTTAGTGTCTGGCCTTCAGCCAGAGCTTCCCGAGTTGGCAGGAGCAGAGCTCCCTGCTGTGTTTGGGGCAAGTCTTAGAACTTGCTTGACCCTGGCACTACTTGAGGGTGCGGGGCAACCCCTCTACCACCCTATCTAGCGGTGACTGGCCTGTCTTTCACGGCTGCTCATTTAGCAGATGCAACGCTAGTGGTACTCAGGATGCCCATTGCTTCCGTGGGCTTGTCCCTCCGGACAAGGGCCCGGAGCTTTTCCTTCAGCAGCCTGTTGAAACGTTCAATCATACCCTCAGTCTGCGGGCGATAGGGGACGTGTAGCTGCCACTCTATGTTCTGCTCCTTTGCCCACTGCTGAGCTGCTGCCCCATAAAGGGGGTTCCTCTGTCACTTGGAATGGTGAGCGGCTGCCTATTGTCATGTCCTGCATGACACGGGCAGTGAGAGAATGAGAGAGAGAGGCGAAGGGTTAAGAAAGAAAAGAAACAGCAGCCGAAAGTTAAATGAGAGCAGGGCCAAGGGTCTCCAGCCTCGTGGACTAAGAGGCCCCAGTCGGGTCAACATGCAGCTTTTATTTCTCCACCTACCCGGAAGTAGCATTGTTCTCTCCACAGTCTGTGAGTCTCATTCCTGAGAACTTGCTCATGCCAGATTACCCATGTCTGCAAGCTGCTGTGATTGAAAGTCAGCCTGCATGACCCACAAATGCTCTGCCTTCACACACCCATGCGCATATGACCCCAGGGAGATAAGATTATTATGCTGAGGACAGATACTATCACATCATCAGGTCACTTCCCAAGCAGATTATGGGAAGGAATGTAACTATAGAGATAGATGACCTCCAGTCTCTTTGGGGGCGAGTCAGGACATATGCCCACCTCCATCAGCCCCGAGATTTTTCCTGATGGCCCCCATGCGACTGTGCCTGTCTTAGGTTGTTCCTTCCTCGAGGAATCTTACCCATCATTGGTTAACCAGCCATCTTTTGGGGCCAAACAGGGAGACGCAAGGTGTATGAGCAGTGTCCTCAAAAGTGGCCCCATGTAATCCACCTGCCACACCTGTAGTGGGCATAGCCCCTGCTCAACCTTTCCAGGCAATTACTGCTGATGGGGGTAGTGGCTGGTGCACTGAGGACATGATTGAACAGCCTCTGTGGTGTCTGCCACTGTCAGAGGCATGCCCCAGCGCTGGGCCATTTGGCACATGGTTCATGGGCCTACATGCCCTAGTTTCTGGTGTAACCAAGGGCCCCTAGTGACATCCTTCATTGTCAAAGGAGAGAGAGGACGGGCAGGGCGGACCTGTGCCAGTGCGTAGGCTGCGTCGTTTCCAGATGAGAGGGATGGCTTATGGCCTGGGACGTGGTAAATCGTAGCCACCTGGGTTTTACCCCATGTTCAAAGATCTTCCCAGAGGGTGCGTCCCCACAGGGGGCACCATCCTGTCATCCATGCCTGGGCAGCCCAATGGGGCAGCCACAGGGTGAGACCCCAGAACACTGCCCAGCTGTCAGTGCAGACATGCACGTCTCTTGCCTCGTGCATGAGCACCAACCAGACAGCCCTGAACTCGGCCCATTGGCTGCTCTGGCCTGGGCTGGTGTCATACCAGAATTCCTCTGATTCTGGCTGTAACCCCACTGTAGTCCAAGTGAGGGGCTGGCCCCGATAGGAGACATCTGTGTACCATGCCCTGCCAGGGACAGGTGGCTTTCCTTCCCTGTATTGGCTGGCCACCTCTACAGGGTGTTCTGGAAGTGCCTCTTCCTTGTCCGCATGGAAGGCCACTGGGCCCAGCAGCTCATGGAGCTGCTGGGACACAGTGGACTGGTGGTAAATGTGGCCTGTTGCTCCAGATACATTCCCCAGTTGATCACTGTGGGATTTTGGGCCATCCCTGTCCTGAGTACCTTGAGCCATGACTGCAGCCAACCCCCAAGTGGGTATGTGGACTGCACCATCACAGGTGTAGGACCTGTGATGGCTCTACAGGCCACTAGGGCTGCATAAATGGCCGCTAACTGCTCCTTGATTAACGAGTACCTCTGCTCAGCTTCTTTCCAGAGCTGAGATCAGAAATCCAAAGGCACCTTCCTGGTCCCATGGATCTGCCACAGACTCCAACCAAAACACTCCTGAACCTGTGCTGTCCGCAGGTAGGGAAGGTCGGGGTCAGTGACCTGCAAAGTCTGGGCTTGGCACTGACCGTTTGGCAGCCATAAAGTGCTGAGAGCCAGCTCGACAGCCGTGGCTCCTGGATGATCAGGCCAGGAACCCACTGAATGGTCCCTGAGCAGGATTGATTGGCGCAAGGAAATGAGAAATGAAAGAAATGGCATAGACACCACAGTTGGGATTAGGAGGGTCACTGACTGCGGATGACAGACAGGACAAATTTTATTAAAAGGCATAGTGCTTATATAGAAAGCAAGTTCCTCTTTTACCAGGAATAAATCTTATCTAAGCATAGGGGTTTTGGTAGGGGGTTTTTGTGGAATGTGGAACCAATGTTCCTGACTTAGGAGTTTGGAGGTGAGATAATGTCTTGGCAACAGGTTACATGATTACATGGCATAGACTAATAATATATATTAAGTAAAGTGCAATTTAAGGCAAATAGCAACTGTCAAGTCCATGGTAGAAAGTCTCAAAGTTCATAAGACCATAGATAGTGACATCTGAGGGTCTGGTGGTTGTGGTTTAGGAGCTTCTGCTTTTCCAAGGCACAGGAGATGAGCTGGACATTGTTGGGTTATTGATTTTAGCACTTCCCTTTTTGCTGTTCAGCTAACAAGCAGCTTTGCAGTCTTTTTCTCAGCACACAGAACTAGGGGGTCTTTAGCCACCTGCCATTCTTTACTTGCAGTCAACCTGGAGTCTCAGTACTCTGAGACGGCTCCCAACAGTAAAGGCTTCCTCCATTCTGGAGGAATATTGTACCCCGCTTCATCAGACCGTGAAGGGGGCACATTATGGTTGCCAAGTGGGGTATGAACCCCTGCCAATACCCCAAGAGGCCTAGAAAGGCCGAAGCTGTTTCACCATTTCTGGGCATGGATAGGCCTGGATCTTGTCAATTACAGCCTCCAGCATAACCTTGGTCTTACCCTGCCAGATAACTCCCAAGAATTTGACAGATAATCCAGGTCCTTGGACCTTGACCTCCTTGACAGCCCATCTCCCGCCATTAAATGCTGCTCTGAGGGCCTTCGCCTCATTCTCTAGATCTGCAAGAGAATCAAAGGTTAACATTATGTCATCTGTATAATGGAACAATGATACCGCTGGGGCATGTTTCCAGGTGGCCACGTCCTGGGCCACAAGTCCATGGCAGATTGTTGGGCGGTGCAGGTAACCATGCCACTGGACCACAAATACCATTGTCATCCTTCCCAAGTGAAGGCAAACTGCTCCGGACTCTTTGGCCCAATGTCGATGGAGAAAAAGGCATTTGCCAAGTCCGCAACATAATGGTGCTTCCCCAGTGTCAAGGACAGGAGGTCCATGAGGTCCATTATGGAGGGGATGGTGGCATGCAGGGGGGTGTCACCCTATTCAGTTCTCAATAGTCCACAGTCATGCGCCAAGTGCCATCCGGCTTGCGGACCAGCCACACAGGGGAATTGAATGAGCTGTGAGTGGGGCGTATAATGCCCGCCTCCTCCAGCTTCACAATCGTCTGGCTGATCTCCTCATGTCCTCCTGGGAGGCAGCACTGGTGCACAGGAACTGTCCTGGCAGAGCTTGGCAGGACGACGGTCTTGTGATGCGGGTGCCCTCGCACCACTGTTTTCACAACTCACGCCCTGAAAAGCAGAATTCGCCCAGTGTGGTCTGCACTGCAAGGCCCTGCAACACATCCACCCTTAGTATGTACTCTGCAACTGGGGAGATGTACACTATGTAGGCCCGTGGGGCAAGGCGTCCAATGCCCAAAACCACAGTTGCCTGCCGCGCCCGTATATGATGGCCTCCATACCCCTCTACGTACGCTAGGGGGCCTCCAAACCAGTCTGGATTGCCATACAACAGGGTGCTGTTGGCAGCCGTATCCACCAGAGCCTACACATGCTGCACATTGCTGGGGACCAGTGAATGCTCAGTTCCACATGAGGCCTCCGGTCTCCCAGTTACCCCGCCAACCGGGTCCCTTGGCTCAATCTCTAGTCAAAGAAGTCCTGCAGCTGCACTTCACGAGCGGTGACCTTTGGTGGCTTGGTGAACTTCTGTTCTGGGCTCAACTGGTTCCAGAGGGTCAGCAGCACCTTCTGAGGCTGCTGTTCGATCTTAGCCTGTGACACGCCTGCCATCAGGAGATGGAACCACGTTTGCCTCTGGCTCACTTTGACAGGACCTGCTACCGTTGGGTGGGGGCTCTGCCTTCTGCCCTGTGGACCGGCCCTGGGAGTGGTTTTGACAGGCCTAACCACTCCCCCACTTTGTTTTTCCATCGGGTCGCCACATCACTCAGCCTAGCCATAGCCATCGTGACCTCATGAATGCGGTGGTCCACAAAGGGGATCAAAGTGGCAGCCACCGGGCCAAAGGAGCCTGCCAGGCCAGATGTAAGGATTAGGTCCTTCATTCATGTGGTGAACACTTCCTCATCAGGGCTATTATAGCGCTCCCGAGAGATCATCTGGTGCATGCCCATCTCCCTGATGATTTGCACCAGGTCCATGTACGTGGACCATTTGCTGACCACCTCAGCCAGCTTCCCTGCGTCTGTCCAGACCATACAGGCTGCTGACATCAGCCAGTTGATCAGGGAGTGATTACCCTAGTCATTTTCCACCAAGCACTGAACATTCTGCAGGTGGTGGCGGAGAGAGGGTATCACTGTGATGGAGGCGAGTTGGGTCATCTCATCAGGGGACAGCTCTATGGTCTCAGCCCCATCGACCCACAGTCGCAGCAGCCAACCGAGGTATGGTCTCTCCAAACCATTGGCGAACCTGCTTAGCTAACTCGCGGAGCTCAGCCAACATATATGCCGTATATGTTGTGTGCTGCTTGACCTCCAGTGCTAGTCATGCTCTATCTGTAGCTTGATTACTGGGCGGGCCTGGAGCACAACTTGCATTGGGCTTTTGGGTCATGACGTAGGGCTGGAGGAAAATGGGGAGCCTACCTGGCCTTCCAATGCCTTTTCCAGGGCATGGACCCGTTGTTCCAGCGCCTCCTGACCTGCTTCAACTGCTGCGCTTGACGCATCTGGTTACGGGTGGTGACCGCTTGCTTCTGCAAGACGGAGAGGAGCAGCCATGCAACCTGCCCTTGCTGACTCGCGGTGGGCCATGGGTATGCTTGTCTCCATATGGTATAATGCCTCCCATACAGCCTCCAGTGTGGGCTCCATCACCTCCCAGTCCTCTTGAGGGGCCCACACCGTGAGGAATTCAGCGACTGGGTGCCACAACGCGGTCGAGGACCACATAGTGGAGTCCTCCCAGCGTTTTGGGGCAGCGGGGTAGTTACTCACCAAATCCTGCTGACTCCGCCAAGTGTCAGGCCCGAGGGTGTCAATCAAGGACCGTCTCGGTGGTGAGATGCCCAGCTGAAAGAAGGTACGAGGCAGACTGTGTGCCATAAATGCAGCAACAGCTCTTTATTGGTCTGAGGCTAGAACTTCCAGAACTATGTTGAATAGAAGTGGTGAAAGTGGGCAGCCTTGTCTTGTTCCTGATCTTAAGGGGAAAGGTTTTAGCCTTTCCCCATTGAGTACGATGTTAGGTGTGGGCTTATCATGTATGGCCTTTATTATGTTCATTTATGATCCCATTTCCACTTTGCTAAGAGTTTTCATCATAAATGGCTGCTGGATTTTGTGAACTGCTTTTTTTGCATCTATTAATATGATCATATGATTTTTATTTTTCATTTTGTAAATGTGATGTATTACATTAATGGATTTGCAAATATTGAAACAACCTTGCATACCAGGAATGAACCCCACTTGACCGTGGTGTATGATCTTTTTAATGTGTTGCTGAATCCAGTTTGCTAGTATTTTGTTGAGGATTTTTGCGTTTATGTTCATTAGAGATATCTACCCGTAGTTTTCTTTTTTTGTAATATCTTTGTCTGATTTTGGGATCAAAGTAATAGTGGCCTCATAAAATGTGCTTGGGAGCCTTCCTTCCTTCTCTAATTTTTGGAATAGTTTGAGGAGAAGAGGTATGAATTGTTTTTAGAATGTTTTGTAAAATTCACCTGTGAAGCCATCTGTTCCAGGACTTTTGTTTGTTGGAAGCTTGTTGATTACTGATTCAATTTTTTTGGTAGCAATCAGTCTGTTAGAGTTTTCGTTTCTTCTTGGTTCAGAGTTGGAAGATTGTATGCTTCTAGAAATTTATCCGTTTCTTCCAGATTGTCTAATTTGTTGGCATATAGTTACTCATAGTATTTTCTTAAAATTTTCTGTATTTGTGTGGTATCTGTTGTCACTTCTTCTCTTCATTTCTGATTTTATTAATTTGGGTCTTCTCTTCGTTTTTTTTTTGGTGAGTCTGGCTAAGGGTTTGTCAATTTTGTTTTTCTCATAAAAAAAACCAGCTCTTGGTTTCATTGATCTTTTGTATTGGGTTTTTTTGTTTGTTTGTTTGTTTTTTTGGTCTCTATTTCATATATTTCTGATCTGATCTTTATTATTTCCTTCCTTGTACTCCCTTTGGTCTTGTTTTGCCATACTATTTCCCTTAGGTGTAAAGATAAAGCCTGTTGATTTGAGATTTTTCTTCAAAGTCCAGAGTGATCTGAGAGTTTTCTTGTTTCTTTAGATAGGCCTGCATTGCTATGAATTTCCCTCTTAGGATTGCTTTCGCTGCATCCCATAGATTTTGGGTTGTTGTGTTTTCATATTTGTTTGTCTTGAGGTATCTTTTGATTTCTTCCTTGATTTCATTGACCCACTCACTATTTAGTAACATGTTATCCAGCCTCCATCTATTTGTGTGCTTTCCGGATGTCTTCTTATAATTGATTTCTAGTTTCATAGCATTGTGGTCAGAGAAGATGCTTGATATGATTCCAATCTTCTTGAATTTATTGAGACTTGTTCTGTGGCCTAACATGTGGTCTATCTTGGAAAAAGTTTCATGTGCACTTGAGAAGAATGTATATTCTGTTGCTTTGGGGTGAAGTGGCCTAAATCCAGCTGGTCTAAAGTGTCACTTAAAGCCACAGTTTCCGTGTTGATTTTCTGCCTGGAGCATCTGTCCATTGGTGACAACAGGGTGTTGAAGTCCCATACTACATAGTGCTACTGTTGGTCTCTGACTCTATGTCAGTCATAAACTGTTTTATATATTTAGGAGCTCCTATGTTGGGTGCATGGATGTTAACTAGGGTTATGTCCTCTTGTTGGATGGTCCTTTTATTATTATGTAGCCTCCTTCTTTGTCTTTTATTGCAGTCTTCGTTTTAAAATTTATTTTGTCTGAAATAAGTATTGCTACGCAGCTTTTTTCTCTTTTCCGTTTGCATGAAATATCTTATTCCATCCCTTTACTTTCAGTCTGTGTGTGTCTTTTGATCTGAGATGAGTCTCTTGTAAACAGCATCTGCATGGATCCTGTTTTCTTATCCACTCAGCCACTCTATATCTTTTGATTGGAGCATTTAGCCCATTCATATTTAAAGTGATTACTGATAGGTACATATTTATTGCCATTTTGTTATTTGTATTTCTGGTCTTCGTTTGGTAGTTTGTTTTCCCTTTTTTTCTGTTAAAAGAGCCCTTTTAATATTTCCTGCAATACTGGTTTGGTGGTAATGAATTCCTTTAGCTTATTCTTTTCTGAGAGGTCTTTATCTCTCCTTCAATTTTAAGTGATAGCCTTGCTGGGTAGAGCACGCTGGTTGTAGGCCTTTGCGTTGCATCACTCTGAATGTTTCCTTCCACTCCTTTCTGGCCTGCAGAGTTTCTGTAGAAAAGTCAGCTGTTTGTTTTATAGGAGTTTCTTTGTATTAACCCACTGTTTTTCTCTTGCTGCTTCTAGGATCCTGTCTTTGTCTTTAACCTTTGCCGTTTTTACTATAATGTGTCTTGGTGTGGACCTGTTTGGGTTCAGCTTGTTTGGAATTCTCTGCACTTCCTGGGCTTTATGTCAATTTCCTTCACCAGGGTAGGGAAGTTCTCAGTCATTATTTCTTCAAATACATTCTCGATCCCTTGCTTCTTCTCTTCTCCTTCTGGTATTCCTATGAAGCGAATGTTGTTCTGCTTGATGTTGTCCCACAGGTCTCTTAAACTATTTTCATTGTTTTTTATTCTTTTTTGTTGTTGTTGTTCCAACTGGGTGATTTCTGCTATTTTGCCTTCTAAATCACTGATCCGATCCTCTCCTTCAGCTAATCTAATAGTGATTCCTTCGAGTGTGTTCTTCATTTCAGTTATTGTATTCTTCAGTTCTATCTAACTGGTTGTTTTTATGACTTCTCTATTCTTCTTTATGTCCTCACTAAGATCCTTAAACATTCTTATCATCAGTGTTCTAAACTCTGTCTCTGAAAGGTTAGACACCTCTGTTTCATTTAGTTCCATTTCTCGAGGTTTCTTTTGATCTTTTAGTTTGGACTTATTTCTTTGTTTCTTCATTCTGGTTATCTCTCTGTGATTGCTTCGATATTAGGTAGATCAGCTATGTCTCTCAGTTGTTGCTGGGTGTTCTTGTAGCATGTGTACTTTATATTCAGATTGCACAGCCTCCCTATTCTCCTGTCTCGTGTGTTACAGAGGTGCCGCTGTTGAAGTTGCTGTTTAATTGCTTTTGGCTTGTCAGAGGTAGGATTGACCGCCCCCAGACTGATTAGCTGGGAGAATTAGCTCTGTTCACAGTGTATAAGATGCTGTGTGGAGGTTGACCTCCTCAGAGGAGGCTTGGCCACTGTGGGCTCTTTGTGCCTGTGGAAAATATCCTTTGATAGTGCCACTTGTAGGTTCAACCAGGTAGTACTCTGGTTTTTTCTAACAGTGACCTCTGGGTGTATTGGTTCTGTTGTGTCTTGGGTGGGGCTCCCACTCAGTCATTTAATCCCTGTTTGTTACCAGTCTGTAGCTACCTGGTAGGTGCCTCAAGGGTATACGCAGTTGGATGCTGCCTGTGCTGGACCTGGGTTCATGTGGGGATGGTCTCGGTGTGAACTGAGTATTGATCCTAAGGGAGTTTACCCAAAGGCCCAGTGCCCCCTAGGCCTGTTGTCATCTATCATATGCCGGTAAGGCCCAACTATTGAAAGAGGCTCTTTAGGAGTGTGTGTCTGGATTCTGACCTGGTTTTGAGGGTGCCCTCGTCAATGTGGCACTAGCTTGGCAGGATAGAGTTTAAGTGACTTATGAGAAGTGATTGGTCGTTTTTAAGACTTTAATGCAGATTCAGGTCTCACGCCAATACCTGGACTGTGAACCCCTTGTATAGCGTTTCAATGGCACTACAGCCAGCCTGTACCTCACACTGACAAATTCGCAAAAGCTGTTCCCGAGTAGCTGTGGTACAGTTTTGTGGCCACTGAACACGAAGATGACCCCAGGGCTCTGTGGACCACCTTCTGTTGTAATAAATCTTATCCACAGTTTGTGGGTGTGGGGCCAGTCACCCCGGCACCCCAATTGCCCCTGGCAATGCAGCTGTAGGTGGGTGAATAGGTGTGTAAAGGCTGTGGTCAGTGGTTCTACAAATTCAGTGTAGTCTCAACCTCTGGACCATGCTAGGTCCATGTCCACTTCTAAAACAAAAACAAAGTAAGGCAACCCAACAACACCAAAAATCAAATATACCCCCACAAAAACAAGATAAGCAATGATCAGACAGGAGAAACAAAAATATGTAAAAGAGACAAAAGCATAAACATGAACACAGGAGAACAAGACAGAAAAACAGTGACCAAAGCAATAACCAGATAAACAATCCTGAGAAGCAATGACAAAAAGAAAACAGGTGAAAGAAAAGAAGAAAAAGGAACAAAAGGATGAAAGAAAAAAGGAAAAAGAATAATAAAAACAAGGAAACAAGGGGGATAAAAAGGAAAACAAAGAAGAAAGGGGAAAACAAAAGCTCTCCACCCGCTTTAATCTGCAGACCACTTGCTTGGCATTAGAGAATCTCTGGGTGACTCAACACCAGCTGTGTTGGGGGGAAGGGCCCAATGCATTGTGCGCCAGCCTCCCTCTCAGGCTTGCAGTGAGCGTCCCACAATTAGCTGCCTTGTGCTCTGGGGCTGAGCTCACCACCAAAAATCCTCCCAGGTTGCTACGGGTTGTCTGCTGCTGCTGCAAAAACCCTCTGTGGCCTGTGGAGGTGGGGGCCATACACTAGGGGCTTTGGGTGCCCCCAGCAACGTAGCTCTAGGTGGGCGGGGCAGACCCCCAAGGTACCATAGGTGTGGTCAGCATCCCCCACCAAGGCAGAGCAGCATGTGCTCCTGTACTGGCAACCAGCCCGCACAAATGCGCCACAAATGCCCCCTCCAGATCATGCAGGCACACAGCTCCTGGCCCAAAATTCCCAGGAAAACTCCCAGTTTTAGCCTTTTTCAGTCAGCAGCCCACTGATCAGGCAGCGCAGTCCAACAGCCAGGCGCCATCCTGGCAACTCTGCACACGCAGTACAGAGAGCGGGGACCCAAGGTAGCACGCACACGCACACACATGCATGCCTGTGCCAATTCCACTAGACCGATGCGGTCCCAGACCTTACCCTCTGTGGAGGGCCCAACCCTGAAAAAGTGGTGCTGTCCTGTATGCCACTTGTGTGCAAGCTCCACACGGGGACAATGGTCCCAAAACCTCCAACTCCCAGGCCAAAGGTGCTCAGTTCAGTCCTTCCCCACAGGCTCCTGGGCCCCACTCACACAGCTATTCCCTCCATCAGGGACTGAGTGAGTGCTCACCAGTGAGCGAGCCCATGTGTCAGCTCCACAGGAGGGCTGGTTCTCTAACCGTCCTCAGCCTCACCGAGTTGAGCAAAGGGAGTCCTCACTAAATTCTACTGCCAGGTATCATGGAACTCCTCTTCCCAGAAAAGTAACTCTGGGCTGGTGAGCTCGGCATGGGGCCGGAGGATCCCTCCCCAAACAGGAGAAGCCTCTCCATCACTGAGGTGTCCCTCGCAGGGACTCTGCGTACTGCGTCCCGCTCTCTGTACTGCGTGTGCAGAGTTGCCAGGATGGCCCTGTCTCTGTGGGCCTGGAGTCAGCCTGCTTCATGTCTCCACCGGGCTACCAGTCTCAACATGGCCTCTTCTTTAAATCTTTCGTTTAGAGATTTTGTTCATTAAGTGTTCAGGGGACTTCCGAGGTTGAATGTTGTATAAATTATTTGTAATTTTGGTGTGATCCTGGGAGGCCATTGGCACAATGCCCATCTATTCCACCATCTTACCGGAAGAGTCATTTTCTTTTCTTCCATGATGCTTGCTGTCTTTCTTTTCAAGCAAACTGATCTACATCAGTGACCTCTCTTATTGTAATACTCCAATTACTCACATATTCAGACCTTCTGTTTGATCTCTAGAAATGTACATTTAATTACTTAACTTACATGACATATCCTATGGTAAGTCTCAAAAGCAAGTCAAACTCAGATTGACCACAAATGGACTCATGCTCTTTCCCTGAAGTGTGGCCTTGTTCAAAGGTTTCCTGCCCAGGGAATGCCCTAGTCACCCATCCTGTTGTGTCAGGTAGACTCCCAAGAATTATCCTTCACAACCTTCACTTTCCCCTCTTCTCTATCCATATCTGATCCATTACCAAATGATGTCAAACTCACCATCTAAATATTCAATGTGAATGTGTGCCTCAAGCTACCATCAAGCTATATTTCATTAAACTACTGTCATTATTGTTCTAAACCATGGCTTCCTCTCTGCTATACTAACTGGATCTTTGCTTCCATCCTGCCTATTCTCTGTACTGTAGCCAGAGTAGTCTTTCAAAATGCAAAGCCAATCATTACACTACATGCCCAAAATCTACCCGTGGGTTTTAAGATGAAAAACATGCCTTCAAAAGCTTTGAGTGCCCTTATAGTTCTGTGGTGTTCTCTAGCATGGTTAGCTCTTCCTTCACTCGCTCTACTCTGGCCTGGATGGCTTCTTTGCATTATTTTGTTCTGTCCACCATCTTTTACACCACAGGACTTTTGCACATGGTATTCTGGTACTCTCCTTGCTTAATTAATTCTTGTTTCCTCCTTTAGAACTCAGTCTAAACACTACTTCTTTCTTTTCTTAAAAGATTTTATTGGGGAATCGGGGAAGGGGAACAGACAAGTTGCTGTCCTTTTGTTCTTCAGTCTGGTTGTGGAGGACGTCGCTTCACTGGCCCATGTTTGTATTATCATTGTGCTCTTCCCGGTTGAGGCAATCGCTCGCCGGCCATTAGACAGCCGCTCACGGTGATTCACGGCAGCTCACAAAAGCTCACACCTGCTGCTGACCAGCCACACTGCAGCCTACGCCATCACTGGTGACTCATGGCAGCCCAGCTCCAGGTCGAGCTGTTGTTCACCATCTTAACTGTAGAAGGCACAGCATCACTGGCCCTCATGTAGGATCTGAACCAGGGCCCTGCTGCTCAGAGCTGGTGTCCCAAGCCAACTCTTAACCAACGCGCCACTCGGCCGGCCCTAAACATTATTTCTTTAAGGAAGTTTCCTCTGACCTCTTTGACTTTGTCACATTTAAATATTTCCATTGTTTATATGATTATTTGATTAATGTTTGTCATTCCTGATAGGTTTTAAGCTTCATGAGAACTGATAGCACATTGGGTCTGTTTATTCTTGTATTCCCAGCGCCTAATGTTTTGCTTAACATGCAGTAGTCAATTAATACTATTTGTTGATGGAATAAATAAATTTCTAACTTTTCTTCTTTCTTTGTAGGTCTGCTGTTTTTATTAATAACTGCCACGTAGAGGTACCCAAGTAAAGGATATTTGCTGTTTTTAATATTTTCCAGTTCAGGTTGGAGGCACGGGTAGCAGCAAGAATGGGTAATTTTCAATATAAAATATTCATAAATTATAAAATAATGATTGTGTATGCCACACAGTTTTAATAGAATTAAAATAACTTGATTAGTTTCTTATTTCTCGATAGCAAATAAATGGTAGCTCTCTTTAAAAGGATTAATTGAAAACCCATTCTCTTTCTTTTTTTTAGGTTTAGAAGAATATACAGTGTTTTTAAAGGAAATATCAGAGTTAATTATGAATCAAATGCCAAAAGCTGAGTGAGTAATGTTGTAGTATCAAGATATGTAAAATTCTATATCATATTCTTGTATGTCTATTTCACCTTAAAGTGATATCTTTCTATATCATCATCTTTCTCATTATATATATATAGTAATATTATATATGTCTACCCACATATATACATATATATATTTGTTTAATGTAGAACTTTTAGAGCAGTTTTATAGTGAATGGAAAGTTTTTTTTTGCTTTCTGTGTCTATAGCTGTCAATGAACCCATTGTTTTATAAAAGAATAGGATTGATTAAGCAGGAAGGAACTATAATACAGGCCGATATTCAGAATATAGGTGTTAAATTCCTGAGTCCAAACTGAGGTTCTGCCATTTGGCCTTAGATCATTTTTTCTACCTCTTTGAGCCTAACTTCCCTTTTCTATAGGATGGGAATGACCCTGCTTTGTTCCCATGAGAGATAGTCGTGCATATGGATATACTTGAAAGGTTTTATCTTTGAACCTGACACAAAATAATTACTCAGCAAGTTCAGTTATGGATGATAGTGATAATGAGATAATGTTAAGAAGGCTACTGACTTTTGTGGACCTTACTTAATTTACATGTACCCTTTGTTTAACTGTTTTCATTTTAGTTATGCCAGCATATTCAATGATTTTGTTGAATCTGAGTTTTTTCTGGTTGATGGAGATTCGTTGCTTCTCATGTGCATCTGTGAGACATCATTAAAGCAGGGACAGGAGCTCCACTTCTTCTATCTGGTTGAACGCTATCTTGTGGATATTGTTAGTAAAGGAGGACAATTTGCCGTAGTTTTTTTCAAGGTAACGTGACAGTTGAGTTCTTTTCTATGACTTAAGAACTAAGACTAAAATTTCTGATTAGAAATAGTTTTTTTCTTATTACAAACTGAGATCTATCTATAAAAAATTTAGAAAACTTAAAAGGAAAAAACAGAAAAATTACCCATAATCCCAGTATTTAGAAATTACCACATATAAGATTTTTATTTATAATAATAGGATTTTATTGGAAGGACACACAGGATCATGAACAAGGATGAGAAATCTCCTGAACACAAGGTCTAGTTGATCTCTGTATTCTAGTCTTCCAACTCTGAGAGCTACTTCTGTCTTCAAAACTCAACAGTCAGTTTGAGCCCAGAAGAATGTCAAACTGACTAACACTGCTTTGCTATTATTTGATCTATAAGAAATACCTCCAAAAGAATATATTTTATCCGCTTTTTTGACTATTAATATAATTAATAAAAATTTAACAATTTCAGCTATATATATCCACTACCACCCCTTCTTCATCCTGTCCCTTAAGGTAACCTGTGTGTTACTGTTAAGGATTTTGGTGTGTGTCTGTTCAATCATTTTGCTGTTCACATTGTTAGATTTTTGAACATTGATGACTGATTGCAAGCAGTGTTTTGAATAAAGAACCAGGGTTCTAGCCTAATGCTTACAGTCTAGTTTCTGCACTCATTTTGGTCTACTGAGAAAAAAAACCTATGCTGCCTCAGAAGGGTCACAATAGGCTGGGACAATTCTCTTAAACAAAGTGATCCACCTCAGCTTCTGTTCCCTGGATAATTTATACACACCATTGACTCTGACATATTTTTGTGTCCCTTTTTTCTTTTTGAAGTGACATTGGAGAGGAAAAAAATTAGAGTGGGAAGGGAAAGTGTGATAAATCCTGAGTATCGTGTGCTTGCTTAAAGAAGACACATGTATTTTAAACCCAAGTTGTGGTTTATGGCACATATTTGTGAAATGACAGTCAAGGTTTTGGGGTCTGTTCTCTGACTATAAAACAGAACAAAAGTGTGTTGGAATTTTTTCCTTTAATGACTTTAATGATAAGTGTTAACCAACTAAACTTGTAAACTACTAAATAATAATTTCAAAATGCTATACTTTACTCCTCCTCCGCAGGATGCTGAGTATGCATATTTCAACTTCCCTGAACTTCTTCCATTGAGAGCTGCCTTAATTCTTCATCTTCAGAATAATACCACTATTGATGTTCGAACAGAATTTTCTGGATGCTTATCACAAGAGTGGAAAACTTTCTTGGAAGAGAATTACCCATATTTCCTAATAGTTGCAGATGAAGGCCTGAACCATCTACAAACACACCTTTTCAACATTTTTATCATTCAGTCTTGGGCAATGAAGGTCAATGCTGTGCTTTCCTCAGGGCAAACATCTAATCTTCTTCGACTTTATGCGTACTTTATGCCAAGCAAATCCACAAACCAGGATTTTTTCAGGAAGGTAATTTATATCCAAAAGACAAATTTCTTGTAGAATTTTACAAAATTTTCTAAATTCCTTGACTCATTTCAATTTTCAGCTCTTCTATGGAAATTATCATAGATTTAACAGAGGGGTATAGAACATTAATAATAATAAAATAATAATAATAATAATAATAATAAGATGTAGTCATTTATTAAGCACTTACTGTTAGTTGTGCTTGGTACTTCCCATGAGTCATTTTATTTAACCTTCACAACAACCTTGTAGGATAGGTGTTAATATCATAAGTATTTTGCAGATGAGGAAATAGATACTTGAATAGGTAATCTATTGATCATCAATACCAAATGAATAATAAAGCATGGATTTGAAAACAAGCAGTCAGATTCCAGCACTTATGTGTTTAACTACTGTGTTGTATACTGCCTTCAAGTTAATGATGTCCAGAAATGCGTTAAATTGGAGGTAAAAATTATGCCTCTGTTGCAGAGACATACTAGTAAAATGATAGTTAATATGGGAGCTTCTAATGAGTAAACATGGAGAAGGTTGATGAAGAAAGAAAAGAAATGAAATGAGTTTATTTCTTAATATTAAATAATAGAATTTCCAAAGTATTTAGAATTTTAATTCCATAATCTTATTATTTTGCTGTATTAATATAGTTGACAAGTACTATATTGAACTCTTGGGAATCAACAATGCATACTGATTTTATAAATAAATCTAATTTCTATTTATTTTTATTACTTATAGTGAATTCTGAATATGAAGATAATTCTGTATTTCATTAGCATGATTTTTGAGTCAGTTAACATTTTTCACTCCTTGAGGATCGGGTCACGCACCCCTCATGGTATTGGAGACATCCAGGTGGTTATCATAAAATCTGATAAGATAGTTTATTTTGCTTTAGTTAGAACACCAATCATTAAAGTATACTTACCTACTGTGAGCACGAACAGTCCTGATATTCATTTTTATATTGAAAGGAGATTCTGAAATTAGTTGATCCCATTTTATTCAGTTAGAACAATTTCTGAATCTGAATTTGAAGAGTGCCCTACAAACATCCTTCCGAATCTCTCCTTAAGAGGATTTGTTTTTTAATGGAGGATTTTATCTCTGATAAAATAATCTATTTCCTAATTTATTGAACACTCACCTTAAAGAGATTATTTTATTTATCAATTTGAGAACTGTGTGAAATGCAAATAAAAGTGCAATATATGTTGCTAATGACTGTTGCTGGATGACAGGTCCCTGGGGGGAGGTTATGCTAGTCTCTATTTGTATGTTTGAAATTTTTCATAATAAAATATAATGCAATAAATGGACACAATGTTTCTGAGATGCTGGAAATGTTCTAAAATTAGATCATGGTAAAAGTTGCACAACTCTGTAAATTTATCAACAGCCATTGAATTGTAAACTTAAGGTGAGTGAATTTTATCTTATGTTAATTATACCTTCATAAAATTGTTAAAAAAATTACATGCCCCAAATTCCTAGAAAAAAAGTTCATTTAACAAAAACAAAATAGTGCTGGGTAGTAGGCTTTTAAAAGCATTATTAATGATATGTAATTACATTAGTATAATTTTTTGTTTACTTAGAAATATTTAACAATTATGTCTTCAATATCTGATTTTCTGTAGTTGAAAAGTAATTAGGTATTTTTTATGACAATTTACATGACTTGCCTTTCTTTTACAGAATAAAAAGAAGATTGAGAATGCTTATAAAACCCTGATTGAACAATTGGAAGAATGTAGAGTATTGGCATTAGAATCTCTTTTTGGAAATTTAAAATGGAAAAATATGATGGAAGAGGTATTGAAACTTATTGAAACCATTAGTTTAATTACAAACAAAGTTGCAAAAATAGTACACGATTCCCATGTACCTCTCACACAGCTTCTCCCAATATTTACATCTATGTAACCATGGTACATTGACCAAAGCCAGAAAATTAACATTAGAATAATACTGTTGCCTAAGCTTTAGACCTTGTTTGAATTTCACTTACTTTTCTACTAATAAACTTTTTCTGTTCCAGGATCCCATGCGACGTCCCACATCCATTTATTTAGCTATTCATTTCTAGTTTCCTCCAATATATAATAATTTTTCAGCCTTTCCTTATCTTTCATGACCTTGACATTTTGTCAAATATTTGATCAGTTATTTTGTTAATATCCCTCAATTTGGGCTTGCCTGATGTTTGCTCATGATTGGAATGAGATTACATAGCTCTGGCAAAAATGCCACTGAATTGATGTTATGTCCTCAGTGCAGTTTATGAAAGGGTTCATGACATTGTTATGTCTTAACACTGGTTAAGTTGTTGCCGCTAGCTTCCTCCATCATAAAGTTACTATCTTTTCTGAGTGTGCAAATTCTGACCCTTTTCAAATTTTTGCCAATTAATTTTACAACCCATCAGTGGATCTTCTTTATAACAAGTATTGGGTCTTCGGGAAAGTGATGACATATTGAATTGTCGCAAAAGTCATGACACATTTTGTCTATGTTTTTCAAAGGTCATTTATTTATATAAAGAACAAAGATCAATCGATATATTGCCTGTTTTGTTCGATAACCTTTTGCCACCTTTCAATGAGCTTCATAATTCCTTGTTCATAGAAGGACCTGTCTTTATTTGCAAAAAATTGAACAAGGTGCTGATTTACAGCCTCATCTGAATTGAATGTTATATCACACAAGGAGTTTTGAAGAGAGCAAAACAAGTGGAAGTCTGACGGCGCAAAGGTCAGGCAAACATGGTGGGTGTGGCAGTACATCCATCCAAGCTCCAATAAGTTTTGACGGGTGATCAAACTTGTGTGTGCTCTTGCATTTTTGCTATGGAATACAACTTCTTTACAATTAACAAGCTCTGGACGTTTCTGGATGATGGATTCATTCAAATTGTCCAATTGCTGACAGTACACATTCAAATTGATTGTTTGGTTCCTTGGTAGGAGCTTGAAAAACACAGATACCTTTAAAATCCCACCACACTGAGAGCATAACCTTCCTCTGACGAATGTCTGCTTTCGATGTTGTTTGAGGCGAATCATCACGTGAGGACCAAGACTGTTTGCACACCACATTGTTGTCAACAATTAACTTCTCATCACCAGTTATCAGTTGCTTCAAAAAAGGATCGTTTTTCTCATGTTTAATGAGCATATTGTAGATGTTTATACATGCTATCCAATGAACTTCTTTGAGTTCATGCGGAACCCAAATATGGAGCTTGCTTATGTATCCCAGCTTCTTCAGGTGGTCGTGAACACTTGAATGATGGATGTTCAGTGTTCCTGCAATCTCTCGTATCGTGTAATGTAGGTTTGACTTGATCAATGCCTTTGTTTTGTCATCATCAACCTCAGTGGGCCTCCCTGACCAAAGAGTATCATTGAGATCAAAATCACCAGCACAGAATTTTGTGACCCATCGTTGGCACTGATGCTCTTGTAGAGCATTGTCACTGTAAACTTTATGCAACTTTTCACAAGCTTGACGCGTGTTCTTCCCTTTTTGGAAGTAAAACAGTAAAATATGACAAAAATGCAGTTTGGTCTTCCATCTTCAACTTGTTGTAAAATCTCCAAAACTCAACAAAATTGCTCAATTTTTTTAGAATGAAGCTAGAACAGTCCAGCTGTCAAATGACATATTAATAACATAGATGTGAATGACTCTAGTACTTCCAAAAAATGAACTAATGCCATCTGTTGCAAACATGTGACATGACTTTTCCGAAGACCCAGTGTAATTATTTTGTTGCTCAAATTGTTCCAAGTTTGAACATTAGAAACTTCTTCAGGTTTGCCCCTACGTTCGTTTACAAGCCCTTTTTTCTTTTTGAAATACACTTTATTGAGGTATGGCATAGATTGTGGGGAGAGTTAATTGGGTGTATATTTATTTTCAAACTCATCAAGCATCATCTTTTTGAGCACTCTCTTATTTCCTGAAACCACAAGATGTTCCAATCACATCTTGTATTTTTCCTGCCCAAGCCCAGAAATCAACCACTTCTCCAAAGTGTTCTGGTTGCTTTTATTGGAAAATGGCATTTAGAAGCCAAGATCTGGGACTGATGTTGTTCATTGCTATGAGGGTGTCATTGCTTCTAAGACTTTTCAGCAGATAGAGCGAGGAACTATGTGAATGTATACTAACCCATGTGTATATACTCGTATTCCTATTTTTTACCTATATCTATGTAAACTGTCATCTGTCTATCATCTATTATATCATGTGTTCATACTGATAACTTTTACTAAATTACAACTTCATATAATTCATTTTACCTTCCCCCTTCTTTATTTGTAATTTCTTTCTCCAATTGTAAGAAATCAAGCTCTCATTACCTATAATTATATACTGCTTTTTTAGTTCTAGTATACAAATAAAGTCATTTTAGAATTGCTAACCCTATCTCATGAGAAACGTATTCACTAAGGGCATTGCAGGGTTTCTGTGCAGTTCTTTTTATCTGTGGTTATAGAATATGTCAAAATACTGTTTTACAAAGTTATTTAGGGCAGTTCTTATTCACCTCCTCTAGTGTGGTTATGTTATTCATTATTAATAGAGTTAGGCTCTTTGGTTAGTATTTGAATTTCATTTTGGGTCCCTCCCACCCATACCCTGATTGGTTTCAGTTATGTTTATTTTGGAGGGTACGTGAAAGTTATATGAAACATTATAATGATTTTAAGAATCAGATATATACAAAAAGATACACTCAATGAAGTGACACTTTATTCTTATGCCTGCTACTTGCTCCCATGCTCCTCTACAATTCACCTCTTTCCCAAATATTTTCTGTAGGTAACTTGTCTCTTTAGTCTCAAGTTTATCCTTCCTGTATTTCCTTTGCACAAAAACAAAACAAAAAACAAAAAAACCAGATACATATGTATTTTCTTATATCCCCTCTTAAATAAATAATAGCATATTATAGATATCCTTTAGTACTTTTCTTTTTGCTTTAACAATATGTCTTAGAAATAATTTTAAAGCAGTTTATAGCTATCTTCCTCATTATGTTATACAGTCTTCTTAAGTCATATTTGTTTATATAAACAGAGTCTAACTCTTTAAATGACATGCCTGGCACTTTTATATGCCATGTGATGCTTTAATTGGTACACACTTTGAAATTCATTTCCTGTAGTCTGTGCTGTAGTCTACCTGGTTACTTTTTTTTTTTTTTTTTTGTATTTTCAGACTTAGGGTAGATTTAATTCTTCTGGTGGTTGTTCCAAATCACTTTCACTAATGTTTCTCTTTATGTATCCTGCAATTTTTTCTCAATCTCTCGTTGGTCACTACAAAGCCTTGAGTTGGGGCAGGTGTGGCACAGGAGCATGAGAGATTGCAGAGCTGGAATTTGTTAATGTTTCCCCTTAAACACAGTTATTTTGCAGTATCACCATTCTGTCTTCTTCTAAAGGTGTGAGTTTGTGTAGAATATTTACAGTTATAAAATATTTAATATTTTTAAGAGGTTGATTACTATAGGCTCTAATGTTTTCAACTACACAGAAATGTCACAAAATTATGTATCTATGTATGTATGATAGAGTTTTAGCAAAATACATAATAGAATTTGAAAAATATAAAAACATCTTATGAGTAATCCAATACTTCACATTGGAGTATAGGGTGACTTAAATTTCATTAATAGAAGTATAATACCTAGATTTCAGTATGTCATAATCTTATTCCTTTGAATACCTTTCATACTTGTTATACCATGATTACTTATAGTTCTACCATTTAGAGGTAGAAACTCATATTTTTTTTAATATTACCTTTCAGTGGTGTTCTTTGTATTTTTATACAATTGAGAGCATATCATATTAACTTTCTCAATTAATATTATTTAAATATTTTCTAATTATCAAACATTCTTCACACATTTAACTTTTACTGGATTCATAATATTTCCCTAATGCTAGATATTTATTTATTTATTTTATTATTTTTTTAAAGATTTTATTGGGGAATTGGGGGAGAGGAGCAGTGCTGGGGAATCGAGGAAGGGGAACAGACAAGTTGCTGTCCTTTTGTTCTTCGGTCTGGTTGTGGAGGACGTTGCTTCACTGGCCCATGTTGGTATTGTGATCATTGTGCTCTTCTCGGCTGAGGCAGATCGGTCTCCGGCCATTAGACGGCCACTCACGGCGGCTCACGGCAGTTCACGCTGGCTGCCAGCCACTCAAGGTAGCTCACAGCAGCCCACTGCAGACCACGCCGTCGCCAGCAACTCACCGCAGCCTAGCTCCAGGTGGAGATATTGCTCACCATCTTAGCTGTAGAGGGTGCAGCATCACTGGCCCTCGTGTGGGATCCAAACTGGTGGGCCTGCAGCTCAGAGCTCCTGCTCCCAAGCCAACTCTTAACCAACGAGCCACTCTGCCAGCCCCTCCATAATGCTAAATATTTAAATTGTTTGAAAATTGGCTTTTACAAATAACTGTGATGAACATCATAGTACATAAATCTTGGTACACATTTTGTATTATTTTACCTAACCTTAATGTAGAAATTAAAAGCCAATCAAAAAGTATCAACATATATAATGATAATCATAAGTATTTCCAAACAGCTTTGCAGTAATTCTGTACCTATTTAGAAATTACATATTGCATTTCAGTGCTATTATCATTAAAATATACTTTGCTAACTTGAAAGTAAAAATATGATATCAATTGTTCTTTTTATTACTGAAGATGTTGAATATTATTTCTTTCATTAATATTTGTATTTCTTTTGTGTATTATCTGCTGTGTCTTATTATAGGTTTAGATGTTTTCCTATTGATTTATAGGAGCTCTTTACATACTTAAATTTTTAAGGGTTTTACTGAAATTTTTTAAATTGTTTTCTCATTTTCAAATGTTTATCATTTTTAACAGAAACATTTATAGTTTTATGTGGTCATACCTATCCTTTTCTGTATGGTTTCTTCTAGTAAGATCACTAATGAATAAAAATATTTTTCTAAATATCATGACATTTTACAATTTCACAGGCATGTGAAACTATTTTTCGGCTTAAGCAACTCTGGCCAGAAGGATCTGACATTCGACGTGTTCTTTGTGTTACGTCGTGTTCACTATCTTTGAGAATGTACCATCACTTTTTAGAAAACAGAGAGACAACTACCACTGATCAGAAAACTAACATCCAACAGGTATGCCTGTTTTAACTTTACTATGAACCACAATTGCTCTGCACTTTCGAAATTTTATTGATTTTCATCTACTATTTCTTCCATTTGGTACTTCATTTATTTCCCTAATTTATTTATATGCACTTCCAAAAAAGGGAAACATCTAGGATTTGTTTATAAAAAACACTTATTGTGCTGTTATATGATTTAGTGTTTCACTATACAGATATGTCTCTTTGTACATATTTAGTCAAATTTTTAGTCCAGTCATCCGGAAGAAGAGGAAATGAGAAAGAAAATTAGCACTTGGTGAGAGCTTACAAAGTTACCATGTTCTGGGCTCTTTGTATGCTTCATGATATTAAATACTGACAACAGCCTTTTAAAGGAGGTGTTATTCCTGTTTCACATGCATGAACACCGAGGTTCAGGTGTTCCAGGTAACATGCCTCAAACCAAAGATATTAAAGAGCAATGTGGGTTGAACCTAGGTCTGTCTTATCTAAGTTTCACAACACCAAACTGTATTTTGAAAGAACATTCCTCTTGTAGTGTCTGAGTGCCATCCTAGAGATGCTAAAAGTCTTAAATTTTTTATGGTTGATAGAGTGCATTAAGAATCTGTTGACCAGTATGGGTTTGTTCTCAAACTAGTCATCCCTATCTGTATGTGAACACATATACATGTGCACACACAAACACACTCTCAGACACACACGTGTGTCTATTTTGTATTGTATTACTATTTTGTATACAAATTCAGTGCTGGGGGAATTCTTGGTTAAAGATTCTTGTTAAAAAAAAATGAAGTTTATCTCTCTCTTCTACAATTTCAGAAATGAACAGGGCTTATCATCTTTTACTTAGCTACCTTTATACAGTATTTGGCTTTTTTATTGTCTGTTTGAATATATTCTTAGTAAAATGTTTCTACATAATCAGGCATACCCTTTTAAACTGTTACCAGAAAAATGATACTAAACCAAATGTACTCTCTGGAACTTCTGTTCGTTAGGCCCTATTTGGCTCTCTGGAGGTACTCTGAAGCAAGTCTTAAACTTGTTTCACTCAGAACCCTGCAAACATTTGAAGATGGCTGTGAGGTCCTTATCCTATCATGTTAAATATGCCCACTTCTTTACGCTCTTTCTAATTTGTTAAATTTTTAGAAATGTCCTGGTTTCCTCACTCTGGTAATTTTCAATATAACTTTTAAAATACAGTGCCTTGGACAGAATAGAATATTTAATGTTTGACTCCATCAGTGCAGAGTCCTAGGGAATATGACTTCATTAGCTGCTTGGTCAGCTCATGTAAAGATTGGCTTGAGTAAAACCACTGAAAAATGCTTAATGTAAACTGCTATTGAACTGGCAGTTCCCTGTCCTCCTTACCTCATATCTGGATTAACTCAGTAAAGTTTATGTATGAAGAAAAGGACTTCCTCAAAAATGTATAATGTAATAATATGTGGTTACTGCACAGCAAAATGTGGCTGCCGGCTTTTGTGGCGCTGCATGTGGATCGGGCAGTGTCACCACCCGCTGTTCTCTGGCTAACCTTCATTCTCTTATTCAGGAGAAAAGGAATTGCTTAACCCTGAAAGAGATGGAAGACTTATGTAAACTGCAGTGTCTCAGCGTGGTTTTTCTACTCCACTTACCTCTTTCTCAAAGAGCTAGTACTAGAGTCATCGTTTCCCATTGGATTGAGGACGTTGAGGCTTTCTTAAAAATGGTAAATATGTTCTTTATTAGTTTATTCATTTACTTTTTTGTTTCAACTGTTTGATATATAAAAACCAGAGTCACTTTCAAAAATAGATTTATATGAGAACAAATGTCAGCCCTTTGGGGACTTTAAAAGTTTAATGGCCTAAATCAATCATTTCCCAATTTTAACAACTCTATTTGGTAGTAGTAATAAACTGCATGATATATATTCAACCTAAGGAAAAAGCCTCTCTATTGTCCTTCTTCGAATCTCTGTAAATGTCAGATTTTTTGTTTTTTTTTAATCAACTGTAAGGAGTTGTCGACCTTTGTGTTCTGCTCTGGAGAGGAATGAAGAAAATCAATGTAATAGTTTATTATTTTTGTCCATTATAGAGGATAGTTAGAGGAAACTTGTAGACTTTGGAAAAATAGAAAGCAAAAACAAAGAAAAACCCAGGGGCCCAACACTTAAATCAATGTTGGTAATTATTAGTATTTGGGTTTATTTTATTTTAAATGGCTAAATCTTTCTGTGGTTATTTGCATTGCTTCTAACATTGGAAGTACATGTATGTATGTGTGTGTATATATATATATATATATATATATATATGAGAGAGAGAAAGAGAGATATGTATATATATAGCTATACATATACATTTTTTTCTTTTCAAATATTTTTTCTATTTTCTTTCACATTCTTGGTTCGCATCATTTTTTTTTTATTAGTTTCAGGTGTACAAAACAGTGCAATAGTTATACTTTTACCCCTCACATAGTGAAACCCCCTACCCCAATCTACCGCCCCAGTACCCCACCGACATCATATGTATATATTACAATTTCATTGAGTCCACTCCCCACACTATACTACTATACTCCACATCCCATGACCATATATATATATATATAAAATTATAGTTGACATACAATATTATTCAACAACAGCTTCACGTATACAGTGCAGTGGTCAAGCCTCTACACCATCCATGAAGTGGTCTCCCTAATAAGACATGTGACCATCTGACACCCTACAAAATATTTACAACATTATTAATTATATTCCCTGAACTGTCTTTCATATCCCTGTGGCAATATTGTAGTTACATATTTATGCTGTCTAATCCCTTCCCCTTCTCCCTCATCCCCACCCCCTCCCATCTAGCATCCATCGGTTTTTACTCTGTGTCTGAGACTATTTCTGTTTACTTTGCTCAGCTATTCAGCTCTTTATATTCCACATACAAGTGAGTTCATATGGTATTTGTCTTTTTCTGACTGACATATTTCACTTAACATAATGGTCTCTAGGTCCATCCATATTGATGCAAATGATAAGATTTCATTCTTCTTTATAGCTGAGTAATACTCCATTGTATAAATGTACCACAGTTTCTTAATCCAGTCGTCTACTGATGGGCATTTTGGTTGTTACCAAGTCTTGGCTATTGTAAATAGTGCTGTAATACACATAGGGATGCATATATTTTTTCGAATTACTGTGTTGGGTTTCTCTGGATAGATACCTAAGAGTGGAATTGCTGGGTCATAAGGTAGTTTCATTTCCAGTTTATTAAGATCCCTTCATACTGATTTCCATAATGGCTGCACCAATCTGCAGTCCCACCAACAGTGCACCAGGGTTCCTTTTTCTCCACAACCTTGGTAGCACTTGTTGTTTGTTGATTTACTGATGATAGCCATTCTGACCGGAGTGAGGTGGTATCTCATTGTGGTTTTTATTTGCATTTCTCTAATGATTAGTGAGGTTGAACATTTTTTCATATGCCTGTTGGCCATCTGTATGTTCTCTTTAGAGAAATGTCTCTTCATATCCTCTGCCCATTTTTTAATTGGGTTGTTTGGTTTTTTTTGGTGTTGAGTTGAATGAGTGTTTTATAAATTTTGGATATTAACTCCTTACCAGATATATCATTGGCAAATATCTTCTCCCATTCACCAGCCTGCCTTTTTGTTTTATTGATGATTTCATTTGCTGTGAAATAATTTTATGTTTGATGTAATCCCTTATGTTTATTTTTTCTTTTATTTCCCTTGCCTGAGGGGATATATCAGTAAAAATATTACTGAGGGTACTATCTGCAAATTTACTCCCTATGTTTTCTTCTAGGAGTTTTATGGTTTCAGGTCTTACATTTAAGTCTTTAATCCATTTTGAATTTGTTCTCGTATATGGCATAAGTAGGTGGTCCATTTTCATTTTTTTGCATGTGTCCAATTTTCCCAGCACCATTTATTAAATAGACTATCTTTACTCCAATGTAAATTCTTGCTTCATTATCATAGATTAAATGAGCATATACGGATGGATTAATTTCTGGGCTCTGTATTCTCTCATTGATCTATGTGTCTGTTTTTATGCCAGTACCATACTGCTTTAATTACTATAGTCTTGCAGTATGATTTGATGTCGGGTAGCATGATACATTGCACTTTGTTCTTATTTCTCAAGATTGCCGGCTATTTGGGGTTTTTTATGGTTCCATATAAATTTTAGGATTATATGTTCTATTTCTGAGAAAAATGTCCTTGGTAGTTTGATAGGGATTGTGTTTAATGTATATATTGTCTTAGGTAGTATTGACATTTTAATTATATTAATTCTTCCTATCCATGAGCATGGTATGTATTTGCATTTATTTGTATCTTCTTTGAGTTCTCTCTTCAGTGTCTTATAATTTTCTGAGCACAGGTCTTTTACTTCTTTGGTTAAATTTATTCCTAGGTATTTTATTGTTTTTGAAGCAATTGTAAATGGGATTCATTTCTTGATTTCTTCTTCTGATAGTTTATTATTGGTGTATACCAAAGCAACTTGATTTCTGAATATAATTTTGTATCCTGCTACTTTAATAAATTCATTTATGAGTTCTAACAGTTTTTTGGTGGGGTCTTTGGGATTCTCTATATATAGTATCATGTCACCTGGATATGACAATTTTACCTCCTCCTTTCCAATTTGATGTCGTTTATTTCATTATCTTGTCTGATTGCTGTGACTAGAACTTCCAGAACTATGTTGAATAGAAGTGGTGAAAGTGGGAAACCTTGTCTTGTTCCTGATCTTAAGGGGAAAGGTTTTAGTTTTTCCCTATTGAGTATGATGTTAGGTGTGGGCTTATCATATATGGCCTTTATTATGTTGATTTATGATCCCTCTATTTCCACTTTGCTAAGAGTTTTTATCCTAAATTGCTGCTGGATTTTGTGAACTGCTTTTTCTGCATCTATGGATATGATCATATGATTTTTATTTTTCATTTTGTTAATGTGATGTATTACGTTAATTGACTTGCAAATATTGAACCAACCTTGCATACCAGGAATGAATCCCACTTGGTCGTGGTGTATGATCTTTTTAATGTATTGTTGAATCTGGTTTGCTAGTATTTTGTTGAGGATTTTTGTGTTTATGTTCATTAGAGATATCTACCTGTAGTTTTCTTTTTTTGTAATATCTTTGTCTGATTTTGGGATCAGAGTAATAGTGGCCTCATAAAATGTGCTTGGGAGCCTTCCTTCCTTCTCTATTTTTTGGAATAGTTTGAGGAGAAGAGGTATGAATTCTTTTTTGAATGTTTTGTAAAATTCACCTGTGAAGCCATCTGTTCCAGGACTTTTGTTTGTTGGAAGTTTGTTGAATACTGATTCAATTTTTTTGGTAGTAATCAGTCTGTTCAGAGTTTCTGTTTCTTGTTGGTTCAGACTTGGAAGGTTGTATGCTTCCAGAAATTTATCCGTTTCTTCCAGATTGTCTAATTTGTTGGCATGTAGTTGCTTGTAGTATTTTCTTAAAATTTTCTGTATTTGTGTGGTATCTGTTGTCATCTCTTCTCTTTCATTTCTGATTTTATTAATTTGGGTCCTCTCTTTTTCTTGGTGAGTCTAGCTAAAAGTTTGTCAATTTTGTTTATCTTTTCAAAAAAACAGCTCTTGGTTTCATTGATCTTTTGTAGTGTTTTTTTTTTTTTGGTTTTTTTTTGGCCTCTATTTCATTTATTTCTACTCTGATCTTCATTATTTCCTTCCTTGTACTCCCTTTGGGCTTGTTTTGCTGTACTATTTCCCTTAGGTGTAAAGATAGCCTGTTGATTTGAGGTTTTTCTTCAAAGTCCAGAGTGATTTGAGATTTTTCTTATTTCTTTAGATAGGCCTGCATTGCTATGAATTTCCCTCATAGGACTGCTTTCACTGCATCCCATAGATTTTGGGTTGTTGTGTTTTATTTTTGTTTGTCTCAAGGTATCTTTTGATTTCTTCCTTGATCTCATTGTTGACCCACTCACTATTTAGTAACATGTTATCCAGCCTCCATCTATTTGTGTGCTTTCTGGGTTTCTTCTTAAAATTGATTTCTAATTTCATAGCATTGTGGTTGGAGAAGACACTTGATATGATTCCAATATTCTTGAATTTATTGAGACTCTTCTGTGGCCTAACATGTGGTCTATCTTGGTAAATGTTCCATGTGCACTTGAGAAGAATTTATATTCTGTTGCTTTGGGGTGAAGTGCCCTAAAAATATCGATTAATTCAACTGGTCTAAAGTGTCATTTAAAGCCACAGTTTCTGTGTTGATTTTCTGCCTGGAGGATCTGTCCATTGGTGACAACGGGGTGTTGAAGTCCCATACTATGATAGGGCTACCATTGATCTCTATCTTTATGTTGGTCATAAACTGTTTTATATATTTAGGAGCTCCTATGTAGGGTGCATGGATGTTAACTAGGGCTGTGTCCTCTTGTTGTATAGACCCCTTTATTATTGTGTAGTGCCCTTCTTTGTCTTTTATTGTAGTCTTCATTTTAATGTCCATTTTGTCCAAAATAAATATTGCTACTGTAGCTTTTTTCTCATTTGCATTTGCATGAAATATCTTATTCCATCCCTTACTTTCAGTCTGTGTGTGTCTTTTGACCTGAGATGAGTCTCTTATAAACAGCATCTGCATGAATCCTGTTTTTTTATCCACTCAGCCACTCTGTGTCTTTTGATTGGAGCATTTAATCCATTCCCATTTAAAGTGATTATTGATAGGCACATATTTATTGCCATTTTGTTTTCGTATTTCTGGTCTTCCTTGTTTGGCTTGTTTTCCCTTTCTTGTGTTTAAAAAAGTCCTTTTAACATTCCCTGCAATGCTGACTTGGTGGTAATGAATTCCTTTAGCTTATTCTTTTCTGAGAGGTCTTTATCTCTCCTTCAATTTTAAGTGATATCCTTGCTGGGTAGAGCAATCTTGGTTGTAGGCTTTTGTTTTGCATGACTTTGAATATTTCTTTCCACTACTTTCTGGCCTGCAGAGTTTCTGTAGAAAAGTCAGCTGTTAGTCTTACAGGAGTTCCTTTGTATGTAACTCGCTGTCTTTCCCCTGCTGCTCTTAGGATTCTGTCTTTGTCTTTAACCTTTGTCATTTTAACTATGATGTGTCATGGTGTGGGCCTGTTTGGGTTCAGCTTGTTTGGAACTCTCTGCACTTACTGGACTTGTATGTCGATTTCCTTTACCAGGGTAGGGAAGTTTTCAGTAATTATTTCTTCAAATACATTCTCAGTCCCTTGCTCTTTCTCTTCTCCTTTGGTATTCCTATGATGTGAATGTTGTTCCTCTTGATGTTGTCCCACAGGTCTCTTAAACTATTTTCGTTGTTTTTTTATCCTTTTTTTGTTGTTGTTCCAACTGGGTGATTTTTGCTATTTTGTCTTCTAAATCTCTTATCCAGTTCTCTCCTTCATCTAATTTACTGGTGATTCCTTTGAGCATGCTCTTCATTTCAGTTATTGTATTCTTTAGTTCTAACTGGTTGTTTTTAAGACTTCTCTATTCTTCTTTATGTCCTCACTAAGTTCCTTAAACATTCTTATCATCAGTGTTCGAAATTCTATCTCTGAAAGGGTGGATAATTCTGTTTTATTTAGTTCCATTTCTCGAGGTTTCTTCTGATCTTTTAGTTGGGACATGTTTTTTGTGTCTTCATTCTGGCTGTCACTCTGTGATTGCTTCGCTGTATTAGGTAAATCACCCATGTCTCTCAGTTGTTGCTAGGTGATTTTATACTATGTGTCCTATATATTCGGATTGCACAGTCTCCCTATTCTCCTGTCCCATGTGTTCCAGAGGTGTCACTGGTGTAGTTGCTGTTTAATTGCTTTTGGCTTGTCAGAGGGTGGGATTGACCCTCAGACTGATAAGATGGGAGAATTAGCTCTGTGCACAGTGTATCAGATGCTGTGTGGAGGTTGACCCCCTCAGAGAAGGCTGGGCCACTGTGGGCTCTTTGTGCCTGTGGAAAATTTCCTTTGAGAGTGGCATCATTTTTTAATGGCTGCTAGTTATTTTTTAATGGATGTAGCATGGTTTACTTATCCATCCCTCTGTCATGAGATAGTAAGAGGGTTTTAATTGTTGTATTATAAATACTGCTATTTTCTAGGTTATTTGAATGTAAGCCTTTCCCTTTAATTTGGGGATATGGACTTAGACTGATGTTCAACAAAGAGATTAATGGGTCAATTAACATGATTTTTTGTTTTTTGGCTTTTTTTTAGGGTTTTGATACTTATATTCAAAATGTTACAGGAAAGTGTTTTACAACCAATTAGATAGGAAGCCCATCCACAAATATTTATCAAATGCACAATCATTCTTTGAATCACTGGGGGTACAGTAAAAAATATAAGAAGATATTTACTCATCCCACCTTACCAACTTGGTAGTCACATTTTGCAGAGAAGATAGATATTGAACTTTTAAAATTACTATGAAGAAGGAACTATAGGATGCTTTAGAATCTGATAATAGAAAGACTCTACTTAGTATACTTCTTTTAAGAAATGAAGAGAACTAACCAGTCTTGAAGTAGGAGTTAGCAAGTTGAAGAGAGTATGAAAATTGGATTCTAGGAGATAAAATAGAATGTGTGGTCATCCTAAGGATGGCATGACCAAGGAACTAAGATATATATAGTGTAACTTGAATAGAGAGAATATGGGAAGTGATAAAGCTGAAGATTATAGACGTGTGTGAATTCATATTATAGTTTATTGCTAATATAAAAATTGTTTTTTAAAACTTGGTTTTATTTTCAATTTTCAGAAAAAGTGGTGTGAATATTTCATCCTAAATAATATAAACATTTTTGAATTTTGGAATCTCAATTTAATTCACCTTTCTGACTTAAGTGATGAGCTTCTGTTGAAGAATATTGCTTTTTACTATGAAAATGAAAATGTTCAAGGTACTATCTTAGTATATTACACTTATTTTACTTTTATCCAGAGTCAAACAATATAAAGAATTTAAAACTTCAAAATCATTTTCTTGTATTTCCAATATATAAGATAGCAATTGTTTTACTTCCAATCTTTATTTACACATGCATGCAAGTTTTATTTAGTTGTGATTAGAGTGAGTGTTGTATTTAAAACTTTTTTTAAGTTAATATTATTCCACAAATATTTTTGAGAAAAATATGTGTATGGGTGCTTAGTATTTCCAGATAATTTAACAGTTGAATTTTTCATTTAAATATATGCATAACATTTTTCCATACATTTACTCCAATATATGTAATCATTGTACTGCTTTAAGATATTTAGGGAATTTTAATTTTTTTCAAAAGATGAAGCTGATTTCTGTATTTATTACATGTGATTTGTTTTCCTTTGAGTTATTTTCTTAGAATAACTTTTCTGTTCTTTCTTAATAGTAAAAAATAAAACACAGTTTAAGAGAGCTACAACTGATTGAACATTCTTGAAGTTTGTTTGACCTCTAGGATTTGGTTCCCCCATATTGCAAACATTAAAATAAATTGGCTACATATAAATTTAACAATCCTCCACACGTTTTTCTCATTTCTGAAAATTCATACTTTTTATTGTTTTATTTAATGTAAAGTTGTGTGTGGTGTGGCATTTTTTATTGACTTAAATGATAATTAGATATTCACCATCTGTTATTGTTAGCTAAGATAGTTATAATTTTTAATACTTAGTTATCAAATAGGCATACAAGATAAAATTTTAAATCTACAAACTCTTAGTCAACAGTAGCAACCATTTTCATTCAGATGCAGTATGGAACTCACAGAATATTTTACTGTTGAAAAAGTATTTCAGAACTCTATGAATTTACTCAAAATGTGTGTTTCTGTGTATGTGTGAATGACTTTTAATATTTAGTATTTTTAACTATTACATAGGCCTACATTTGAATTTGGGAACTGTCATTATGAAAGATTATGAACACCTGTGGAATACTGTATCAAAGTTGGTCATGGAGTTTGATGTTGGAAAGCCATTTCCTCTGAGAACAACAGAACTTAATTTTCTTAAAAAGAATCCATTACCAATCAAAGGTAAGAAATATATGTNNTATATATATATATATATATATATATATATATATATATATATATATGTATGTTTTTTTTAAATTTAAAGTTAAGAACCCTTTAAATTAATATGAAATAAAAGCAGCATTTTTCTAAAATGTTTTAAAAGTACCACTATCTAAATGCTACAAGTATAAGTAAGTTTTTTGTTACTATGTTATTTAATAGTAAATTACCTTTATTGTTGTATCATCAGGGTGATATGCTATGATTATAGTTTTGAAGAGTTATATGTTTTATTTGTAACTAATATTGATATGATTTTTTTAAAAAGTCAGATATATGTGACTTCCATTTTCATTTATATGGCAATACAGTATAGAGCAAGTGGAAATCTCTTGTGGGAAACTATTAAAATGATGGATAAGAGATGTTAAACATTTATATAATTACAGCTAAGCTCAAAACAATAGAAGGGAAATACCAGGAGCCACAAGAAGCAGGAAGAGACTGATCTCTGGGTAGTACAAAATAAATCACTCTGAGAATTTCTGGTTATAGATCTTTTCTGAGTAATCTAGGACTTCATTTACTCTATTAGCAGGGTCAATAAAACTCTAAGCCAAAAAATTAACTTTAAGTGATCAAAGGAATTAGCAAATTCTCTGTAGATATACATAACACAAACCCTGGTTTTACAGGATTTTCTGCCAACATATTAGTGCAAATACAAATTTGTAAAACAACAGAGGAAATAAGCCCTAAGAAAAACAGTAAGCTAAAGAACTAGAACTCTTAAATACTTTAGATTTTGTAATCATCAAAAGTAAAGTATCCTATATGTGTGTTTTAAAATGCTTAAAGAAATAAAATATGAGATTTGAAATATTAGAATATAACAAAATAAAAACATCATTCACATTTTCAAATAACTGAACTTGTAGAAATGAAAATATTATCAACAGATGAGTCAAAAAGCTGATTGGATATTGCTGAAGAGAGAATTTGTGAACTAGAAATAAATCAAAAGAATTACAGATATAGAGAGATGAACATGTTGTATACTTTAAATTTACACAATGTTGTATGTCAATTATGTCTCAGTAAAGACAGAAAATTTTAAAAAATCAAACAACAAACAAAAAATAGAGATGAAAAAATATAAAAGCAATGTTGAAATATATGAAGGATAGAATGAAGAAGTCAACTTTTCATTCATTTGGAGATTCAGAAGGAGAGATTGAGCCAATATGAGTCGGGCAATATTTTGAAGAGATTATGGTTGGGCATTTACCTGGATTGATGAAAGACAAGAATTTGCACATTCAGAATGTATTGTAAACCTCAAGTGGAATAAATAAAACACATGCTCATACATAGTCTCAGACAAATACATACACTAGACACAATAGAATAAAATTATAGAATATAAAAAATAAATATCTTAAAAGAACCAGTTACCTACAAGGAACAAAAAGTCTAATATACATTTTAAATAATATTTATAGAAGTCAGAATAGAGTAACATGATATACAATTCATAAAATATAATTTAAGAATGAAGGAGTACTGTGGATATTTTCAGAAATACAAAACTTATTTATCCATCGTCATAGCATCACTGAAGACATTTCTATATGATGAATTTCAGGAAAAAGAAAATGATCTGAGAAGGAATATGAGGAGAAAAACTAACAGGAAATTAGGGTGTATTGATATAAGGATATTTTTCACGATGTGAAGAAAGAATATATACCCTCTTTTCCTTTTGTCAGACTGAGTTTCACGAGACAAACACTCTTGAGTGTAAGTAGTTTTATTGATCCCAGAAAGATAAAATAAGGGAGTGGTCAAGATAGAACAGGAAGAGAAGAAAGTGAAAGCAAGGCATGTTAGTGAGTGGTTTTCCACTGTGTGCAACTACAGGTAAATTTTAATGGGGATCTCAGTCTTTGGCTGAGGACTCTCTCTGGGGCATTACATTCTTAGCACTGCCCCATGTGGGTTGTAAGATACAAAGTGCGTAGGCAGAGCGTTGTAGAGATTGTACAGGAAGGCATTGGGAAAACACAGAAACAGTGAACAACGAGGGAAAAATGGGCAGAACAATGGCAGCTTACCTAGAATTATGAACCAGATACCAAATAAAGGCTTTTACTAGCCAACTACCATATATATGACATATATGTGATATGTGTGCTATCTATTACTTACCTACCACCTACCTACTTAAAAGCTGTCTATTTCTTTATACTCTGCTGTGTTCTAAAATATTTTAAAGTGGGAAATAACTTTATGGGAAGGGCTATAGTTGATAAATATAATATAAATAAAATCAATGAAAAATGTTTTTAATGTCAAGTTTTAGATAATAATGTGTAGTATTCCTGTATGAAAGTTTTACCTTTGACCTTATCTTAATATTTTACTTGTTTACAGACTCCTCCAAGGAAGAGATACCCAGTTTGGGTTTTATTCCAGTGTCATCCGAGGTGGTTGATAAATTTGCTGGAGACATTTTGAAAGATTTGCCTTTCCTAAAGAGGTATAGGGGCAAAAGTGCCTCAGTGAATACTTGTGTGGAATGGAAGAATTACTTATTAAAGATTCCTTGAAATGTAACAGATTAGAGTATATTAGATGTAATACATATTTTGTAACACATAATGAGTTTAATATCAAATTTAACAATGTCCTTTGATTAATACTAGGTGAAAATCAGCATGGTTTTAGTCTTAGAGTAAAATCACTCCACCTGCATATTTTTAATTAATGAATTAATTAATGAATATTTGTTGATGTTGATGGGACTATTAGAAACATGGAGTGCATTCTGGGCTCTTAAGCCTCTAATAAACTGCTCTTTAGATTCAACCATTCACATTGTATCACAGAAAGAGGAAAGGGGGCTATGATTTTTTAAATTATTACAGAGTGTAATCTGTGCTAAGTTATATTTGAAGGCATGCAATTTAAAATATGCATATATTTATTTTTATCTCATAGTGACGATCCTATTTTAACTTCACTGGTTAAACATAAGGAATTTGATGAACTTGTACATTGGCATTCTCGCAGACCCCTTAGTGATGATTATGACAGGACAAAGTGCCAATTTGATGGTGAGCTCTGTGACTCTGGTGAAATAAATTAAAATCAATTTCACTCTCTGCCTTTTATCTCATTATGAAATATTAGCATGTTATGTGCCACAAATTATACTTCTTGAGTAACAATAGTCTAGAACAGCGGTTCTCAACCTTTCTAATGCCACGACCCCTTAATACAATTCCTCATGTTGTGGTGACCCCCAACCATAAAATTATTTTCNTTGCTACTCTATAACTGTAATTTTGCTACTGTTATGAATCGTAATGTAAATATCTTTTTGTTCTCTGATGGTCCTAGGTGACCCCTGTGAAAGGGTTGTTCGACCCCCAAAGGGGTCGCGACCCACAGGTTGAGAACCACTGGTCTAGAAGGTATTTAGATGAATGTCCATAAAGATGGTGATGAAAAAGTCCCATTTCATTTACTGGAAGTCATATGTACATAGGTCTCCAGGCGTCTTAGGAGGAAGTACACAAGTACGGCATTTGTCCCCACAAAAGTTAGAAGCTGTTTTAAGCAAAGACAGTTTATAGTTGAAGAAATCTGTGTTTTCCTTGATACAAAAAATATAGAGGCCATTGTCTTTCAAGCAATTGCCGCTGCTTTCATGTTACGCAGTTGACAGTGTGTATAACAAGTGCCAACGTTTTATCTGCCTTCATGCTCCGATTGGGTGGAACTGCAAAAAGAGGCTCATAAAACCACTAACAGAAGATCAACAGAGTTTGAATTGGGATCTTGTCTCTTTGGTTCGTGCCTTGTCTTCATGTCATATTTGTCTACCCTTATGGTCACTCACACTGTCCTTCAAGTTGACAATATTTACTTTCAGAAGAAAGGAGTTTGCATAGTAATCATGCCCATATGAAATACTTATCAGCCTACTTATATAAACAGCTACCAAGATCCTGCGAAATATGAGGGGCTCCTTGAGATTAACCATTAACATTTGTCAAAGTGGTTTGATTTGATATGTGTAGATAGACATAGAAAAATTAACTAGCTTAGTTACTCCCTTTAAGTGAGTATGATAGTTTTCCTTGGGTAAGTAGTAAGTCACAGCTTGATTGTTGGGACTTCGTATGTCATTGGATTTTACCATAGTGTAAGTTTTTCTCATCTGCCAAGCTCTTGAATCTGTGGCTATGGTCTGGTCTAAGAACTTTTCTGTCAAGTGATGCAAGAAGCCAGAGTATCCCAAATGGATATCTTCTTCACTCTGCATCTACCTTCCTCTTCTTAACTTTAAGGGCACATGACAAAGGTAATGCCCAGAATCTGTAATTCTTTATAGCATCCTGATATTTGTTTTGGGAGGTAGATAGTGAAAAAGTGTTTTGTCACTTCCACCATTTAAATAAGATAAGGGATTATTCTATAGACAAGACCTAGTCTGAATTAAGATTCCTTCCTTAACAGAAGTGAACAGAGTAAATTACTATTAAGATATGAAAAGAAAACTGCATGTGTGGGTGGGATGGTGTGAATAAGTAGTGAGAAATATAGTTGTGTTACATTTTAAGTCTTTTCTTTTTCAGAAAAATCTAGAGATCGTTATTTTCTTAAATCTCTGCAAAAGTATTATCGCTTTCAACGATTTTATGGAAATTCACTAGAATCAGTCTCTTCCAAACTCATTGTAACTCAAGCTGTCAAGCCAAAGAAGAATTTCAGTGGGTCCAAGAGCAAAAAGGCAAATGTAGGTTCTGTAAATTCTACCAACATGTTTTATTTTTCTTTGTCTTTTCTTAGTTTGATGTTTTTCGGTCTCTTTGGTAGTTTCTTTCCATGCCATACATTTTCTTTTAATATATGATCACTTATTATTTTATTTAGTTGCTAAGAAACTCTAACCTGTATATAAAAAGTTATACATTGCCCTCTATATATAATAAAATATACATTTATTTGAAAAAAGATAAGACATTAAATAACTAAATAAATATTGAAGTAACATTAAAAATATAGCTCTTAACATTAAAAATGTAGCTCTTTAAGAGATCCAGTCCACGGTGGCAATATGGTTCCTGAATTCACCTTCTCCTATGGATATGCTGAATTTATAGCTAGCTTAATTATTCCCTTTAAAATTCCCTCTGAAGGAAATCCAGAAACTAGCTGAGTGACTCCTACACATTGAGTGAATGAGAAAAAAATCCAGTGAAACAACAAGAGGAGGCTGAGACATACTCTTCCACTAGACACCACTCCTGGTATAGTGGCATATAATCAGGAAAGTAACTCGCAACTCCCACCTTCTCCCTCTGGATGTAAGGCTTTGGACCCAACAACTAGCACCCCAACTTTTAAGATTTCTACCTGAGGGAAGGGCCCCCAAAACATCTAACTCTGAATGCCAATGAGAGTTGCTTCCACAAGACCCAAAAGACTATATAGCAAACAAAGAAATGGTTTTTAACAGGCTTGCACTGAACTTGCCTAGCTATCCCCATAGGGTTCAGCCAGAGATAGCAGACTAAAACACTTATCTCCCATTCCTTCCCTGAAAGAAGCCAATTCGCACACTTTAAAAGCTGCTGTCTGGGGGTCAGTCTTCTAACTTAGCGTGCACCTAGAGATAGATTGTAGTCCTCCTCAGACATCAGGAAGGCAGAGTACACCATCTCTGTATTCTCTCTCTGGCCTGCTTCAGGTGTACAATGTAATAATGTAAATAAATGTAATGTGTTTTGCATAAGCCTCATGGTAACCACAAAGCTGAAACCTATAATAGACAACAGAGAAAGAGAAATAAATCTAAGCATTTGACTATAGAAAATTATCAGATCCATAAAGGAAGAGGCAAAGAGAAGAGAGGAACAAAGGAGTTATAAAATCGGCCAGAAAAAAAGAAAATTAACAAAATGGTATTGTAAGTCTATACCTGTCGATAATTATTTGAAATATAAATTGACTGAATTATCTAATCAAAAGTCATAGAGTGGCTGAATGAATAATAACAAAAGACCCAACTATATGCTGCCTACAAGAGACTCACTTCAGCTTTAAGGACACACACAGACTAAAATTAAAACGATGGAAAAAGATATTCCATGGAAATGGAAACCAAATAAAAAGCAGGCGTAGCTATACTTATATCAGAGAAAATAGACTTTACATAAAAAACTGTAATAAGAGAGAAAGAAGGTCATTATATAATGATAAAGGTGAAAATCTGAAAGCTTTCTGAGATTCGGAATAAGACAAGGGTGCCTACTCTTGCCACTTCCCTCTGCTCCCATTCTTGCCATTCTTATTCAAAATAGTATGGAAAGTCTAAGCCAGAGCAGTTAGGCAAGAAAAAGAAAAGAAAGTCATCCAAATTGGAAAGAAAGAAGTAAATGTCTCTATTTGCAGATGACATAACATTATATGTAGAAAACCCTATAGAATCCACCCAAAAACAGAACCAATAAATAAGTTCAGTAAAGTTACAGGTACAAATTTACATACAAAAGTCTGTTTCATTTCTATACACTAATAATAAACTATCAGAAATAGAAAGTAAGAAAACAATCCCATTACAATTGCATCAGAGTAAAATACTGAGAAATCAATTTAATCAAGATGGTAAAAGACCTGTACACTGAAAACTATAAGACACTGATGAAATAAACTAAAGAAACAAATAAATGGAAAGATATTCCATACTTATGGATTGGAAGAATATTGTTAAAATGTCTATACTATCTAAAGCAATCTACAGAATCAATGCAATCCCTATCAAAATTCCAGTGGCATTTTTTTCACAGAAATAGAACAAATAATCCTCAAATTTGCATGGAACTACAAAAGACCCTGAATAGCCAAAGCAATATTGAGAAAAAGAACAATGTTGGAGGCATCACACTCCCTGATTTCAAACTATTATAAAATTATAGTAATCAAAACAGTATGGTATTGGCATAAAAGCATTTGTAAGATTAAAACATTGGGAAAGCTCAATATTATTGATTAGAATTAAATACTGAGAAAGTGATGACAACTGAAATTGAGTTTGTTATAGGCAAAGTTTAGATATTAATTTTATGAATAACCAGAATTGTCTAAGGTTTGTCAGAAGTCTCTTGTGAATACAACATTTTCTAATTTGTCTTTGCAGATTAATAAATCATATTAATAAAAGTATAGTACAAGTGGGCCCATATTGTGTTTAAGTCAATTTGAAATGAGTATCTGGATAGAGCAAATAAGTTGTATTTATGTTATTCCTTCTATCCCCTCCTTTTTTTCATTCCCTTTCTATTTTCTCATTCACTCATCAAACATGAACTAAATATTTTATGCTTGGGATGTATAGACAGTTATGACACATTTATGTTTCAAGGTAATTAATCTAGAGGGGAAGTATGACAAGTAAAATCACAGCTACAGCACATGTTATGAGTGCTTTGATAGAGAGATTCTTGGGCAGAGGAAAAATATATGACCTATACTTAGGAGCGGTAGGGAGGGCTTCATATAAGAAATATCTTGAAAGGCAAGTAGGGGATAGAGAGGAAAGTACAAGTATGGAAGAATGGGAGATGAAAACCAATTCCAATCACAGCAACAGGAAACAGTGCATGGAGACAGAAAACAAACAAATGAAAAAAACCAAAAACCAAAAAAAAAAACAGTGGCTTGGTGTTTCTGATTTTGTTATATTTTTTCTTTGATTTATAACCTAGACTACTCAGAAAACTAAAAATTATCTGCATAGAGCCTTTATACTCATTAAAATGAATTGTCATAAGTTTTTCATATTGTCTCGTTCATGAAATATCATCTTGGAATATTTCCAGCTTGATTCATGGGATGTTTCTTTCCTTTTTGGGCAGGGGACTAAGGCTGAAATAATTACTGAAGCGAATAAGAAGAGGTTATTTGCCAAGGAAGAAGAAAAAGAAGAGAAAAAATGGAGTGTTCTGTCATTTTCTATTGAAGAGGAAATGAAAGAGAATTTAAACTCTGGAATAAAGAATCTGGAAGATTTTTTGAAATCATGTAAAAGTAACTCGGTGAAATTTAGAGTTGAATTAGTAGGGTTAACTGCCTGCTTGAAAGCATGGAAGGAACATTGCAGAGGCCAAGGAAAAGGTATGTGATTCTGTGTTTTTTCTTTTGATGAATTGGAGAATTAATAAAAACAACTACAAAAAAAAATGGAGCGATGACTGCTGTCACTTATTATTAACTGGAAATTTGTGTTAGAAGCCTTGATACATTATCTGATTTTATCCTTACAAAATTCCTCTAAGTGTTCTTACTTCTATTTTATCAGTGAGCAGTGAAATCTCAGTGAGGGTCCAGGGTCCTAGTAACAAATATTAAGCACGTTCATAAGCAAATTCAAATGAAATCACAATCAAAGAGAGGTTTAAGAAAAACGACTTACAAAGTTGTGGGAATGGTTAAGGGAACCAACAAAGACGGCGAGGCCCCCAGGGAAAATTTGTCATTCCTCTTTGAGATCTGAAGTGTACACATTTTCTTTTTGGGTAAAACTGGTATTATGTTTGTCAGCATACTGAGTTCTTCCAAAAATTGCTGTGGCTTCCATGCACCTTACTTTATAATTTCTACAATGGAGAGTACAAAAGAAGAGAGGGTGAGGAATATAGTGGAGCAATAAGACTGGGTAGAGATATGTAAATTGATAGCAGGTGAAATGATCATGTGCCATACCTCCAAACTGACGATCCTTTCAAGTAAACCTAATTGATTTCAGTCTTGAACATCTCCACACTTGAATCCACTTAACACCTGGTAACCAGGTTCTTTTTTCCCCCACTCTCATTCTGCTAACTTCAGTCTGCTCTCGCAGTCAGCCTTTCACTGTGGATTCTATCACAGTGAGAAGCATTAAGACTTGGCCTACTGTAAGTATTTCTCCCCAACCAAGATGTTGTATCAGAATTTGAATTTGGCTGCTACTAAGATAGATCAGAATTAACAATGGCTTACCCTCCTGGAGAGTAATATTTCTGTATTAAATTTTTTTTGTAGCCTCATAGCGTTCAGTAGGTGTTTGGTAATATTTGTTAAACAGATCAAGTATAGGTTGATTGGAAGACAGGCAGAATCAAAACCAGCCCTAACTTGGTAAGTATGGAAAGATTAGCAGTGAGGAGAAATAAAAAGGATATATATTTGACTATAAAGAAATGGAGAGGAATTGGCAAAGTCTGTATCTGGCAGTTGTAATAGGCCGATTGAATTGAGAGGCTCCAGTGACTACACCAAATACTTATGTATGGTCAATAGTAGAACTCAATAAATGTTGCTGAGTTTTTAGCCAGATATTTAAAGTCATTTGAAGAGATGAAAAGAACAGGTGGAAAAAGGATTTGTTTTTTCCCCAGAACTTATACAAACATGAGCTTTAATGATCTTATTTCTATCAGCTACAAGGTTTTTCTTTTTCTCCAGCTCTTATACAGCTGCTTCTCCATTATCCACAGAGATGACGAAGTGTGTATAGTTGCACTTTAATTTTATTTTATTTAGTACTTAGTAGTCCACAACCTCCATTAATGTTAAGTAAGATAGTTAATTTAATTAGGTTTGATTTGATAGCCTGGATGGCTAATCTTGGATAATCAAACATTTATTATTATTGGTGGTCTTGATAACAATTTTATTGTTTATTCTTTGCCAAGGTGAAACCACAAAAGATTTAAGTATAGCTGTTCAAATGATGAAAAGGATCCACTCCTTGATGGAAAAATACCCAGAACTTTTACAAGAGGCAGATCGGCGACTCATAGCCAGATGCCTTAAGTATTTAGGATTTGATGAGTTGGCAAGTTCTTTATATCCAACCGAGGTAATGTTTTCATAATAGCTCCATTTTAATAGAGTAATTATTAGGTACATATAAAGTGTCTTGCTAGTACAGTCACCTCTTCTAGATTTTTTTTTTACCTGAAAATATTTATGCTGAGTTCATAATCATTATTAGTAATCCAGCTGCTCAAATTTAAAGTAATCTAGAATTAGGAAGCTTGTACAAATTCTTGTCTGGACAAACATTAAATGCCAGATAATCTCTGCAGCTCCTTGAAACTAATCCCATGTTTAATTCTAACAAAACAAAAAAATTAACCATTATAATTGTGATTGTGAATTGTCTTTAAATATATCAGATTGTAGCTACAAATAGCATGATGGATATTTGAAAACCTTGTTATCTGCTAATTTACTCATGATTAACTGACTTGATGGTAAAGGACTTCTTCAATAAATATTACAAAATGTAAAGGCTGGTAAGATGATTTTCTCATAAAAACTGCTCAGTAATAAATATTTTAATTATTTAAATGATGTTATAATTTAATATCACTTTCAAAATGGACTTTTAAAATAATTTAGGATGCAGCAGATGATGACATAAAGGAGAAGAAAAAGAATAAATATTCAATTGGCATTGGGCCAGTTCGGTTTCAACTACAATATATGGGTCATTATTTGATACGAGATGAGAGAAAAGATCCAGATCCCAGAGTTCAGGATTTTATTCCTGACACATGGCAGGTAATGATTGCATGAAACAAACATTTTTATATTTTATTATTAAATGTGATCTTAGGAGCTTCTCATTACTATGGCTCTACCTATTTGTCATGAACTTAATATTGAGTCATATTATTTAAAATTATTTTGTCATTAGGGATGTAAAATGTAAACCCTTTTCCCAACTTAAAGAAAGTGAAATTTTCATTTCATTAATTTTCTATAAACAGACCAGCTCCTTAGAGGTACTCTGATGATTTCACATGTATATTTTTGAATTTCTGTGTCATCCAGTTGTATCCTTATGGATCAGCCTCCAAAATTTCCTGTGTCAGTAGGATTTCATATGTAAATATATACTTGTGCATATATATTTACATATTTATATATATATTTACATACATATTACATATATATTTACATATTAGAAATTTGGGCAGCTTAAACTGTATAGACCAGGGGTCAGCAAACTGCAGCTCGTGAGCCCCATGCAGCTCTTTGGGTACGTACATGTGGCTCTGAAGTAAAATTGAAAATGAAAATAAAGCTATCATAGTTTCATTTATAACATTTTTAAAGAATATTATTCACATAATGGTTATTATGTAAAAATATATTTATGGCTCTCGAATAATTTTTAAATTGTTGTGAGGGACAGGATTGGCTCTTCCAGGGGTCGGCAAACGTTTGAGACGGAACATACCCAAAGAACCGCATGTGGCTCATGAGCCGCAGCTTGCCGACCCCTGGTGTAGACAATTGTTTAAATATTGATGTGCCTCATCTATCACTATAGTATCTAGTCTTCTATAAATAAATGTAAATTTAATATTTATGGATATAAAATTTGGAATAAAATGGTGAGTTTCTGCATAGACTGAACCATGAATATTTACCCACAAAAGTGCAATTGAACGTTTTTTCACATACTACCCATCATACAGGTTTATGATTCTTTGACTAGCCATCATTTTGATGAATAAAAGGATAGGCTGAAGGGATGAAGATCCCACATGTCCTCTAAAGTAGGTACCTGGCATTATTCTATATAGGATTTAGAAGGTAAGTAATAAAATAATGAATTACTGATTTTTTTTTCTCCTCGGCCACTTTTTCACCATTAGAAAAATACATATTGTCTACTTCTTAGAACTTAATTTCTCAAAGTCATTCTGCACTTAATCAATGACAAATAATTAGAAAAAATATCCTCCCAATAAGAAGATATTTTATTCGCACTCATTTTCCATTTTTCACACACAAACCCATCTCCAGTTGCTCAAAGGCCTAACAGTTCTGTTTTCTGAGAGAATATCATGACTTCTTCAGATTTTCCTGTACATTTCTTCAAGTGTTTTCAATTCCCAGTTATTCCATTTGAGAGTCAGAAAATTAAAAGCGTATTAATATATGTGTGTTGGTAATGTGCTGTTCCCATTACTGACACAAATGGTGCTCTCAACCCTGCAGCGTGAGCTCCTTGATGTTGTGGATAATAATGAGTCAGCAGTGATTGTTGCCCCAACATCCTCAGGCAAAACCTATGCTTCCTACTACTGCATGGAGAAAGTGCTGAGGGAGAGCAATGAAGGGGTGGTTGTGTATGTTGCTCCAACAAAGGTAGGGCTCAAGTGACTTCCATTTTCTTTCATGCTCAAACCTCCTCTTTTAAAATAATACATGTAGGTGTGTAGTGAATCTATTTCACTATTTATTTGTTTTCCAGGTTTATTAAGATCTAATTGACGTGTAACATTGTATTATTTAAAGTGTATATCAATGATTCAATATATGTATATATTGTGAAATGATTACCACAAAAAGTTTAGTTAGCTTATTAACTTATAATTATAATTCTTTTCTTGTGATGAGAACTTTTAAGATCTACCCTCTTGGCAACTTTCAAATATGCAATACAGTATTGTTAACTATAGCCCCATGCTGTACATGATATCCCCATAACTTATTCATGTTACATGTGAAAATTTGTCCCTTTTGACCATTTTATGCTTCCCCTCATCCCACCCTGCCTTTGGCAACCACCAATCTATTCTGTTACCAGGAGTTTTAATTTATTTTTTTAACCTGTATTTTCTCTTTTTAGTTTCAGAGGCCCAAATAATAGTTTACTTAGAATCATTGTGAGGAAAAAGCCTGGTCTTGTGATCTTGTCATTTAGCATTGTGCATGAATTGACAAAAGTACCCACACTTTGCTGGACAATGTTGAGTCACTTATGAGCCTAATATTTTTATGTCTAGGACTGTATGATGTTGAACTTAAAAACAAAGTATGATTTTTGTCATTTAGGAGAAAGTCAGATTTGCAGGAAGTATAAGTTTGCATATCCTCATTCACAACCCATTGTTTTTAATGTGATTACAATTAAGAAAGACAAATTTCGTTGGGATAACTTTAATTCTACACATTAATATGAATTCAGACTCCTTTTTATTTTCTAAGAAAATGTGTAGTGTCCAGTGACTTGTGGTCAGCCTCAGCACCAGATTGATTAATATGATTAGTTGAAATTAGCACTTTATTTTTTATTGTAGCTTTTTTTGTTTTTCATGGGTATGAAAGCAATAAGCGCTCATTGTCAGAAATTAATAAAATATATCAAGAAAAATTAAGCTTACTAGAAGTGGAATTGGTAAATCAACACACTACATATTGCCAAACTACTATCTAGTTAAATCCATTTTTATTTCTACTGGCTGAATATGGAAGTGTACATTCTCTAATCATTTCCAGTGTTCTTATTATCACTTAAAAAGTTTTTGCCATACTAATAGCTGAAAACTTTTATTTAAATTTACATTTTTGTTATTACTAATGATTTGGGCATCTTTATGTATGGTTTGGGGGCATTGGTATTTCTTTATTCATGACCACTTATGGATGTATTTGCCCTATTTTCTTTTTCTTTGGGGGAAGGGAATGTCTTTTAATTTATTTATCAGAACTTTGCATAATTAGTATAATACTTTTTCTCTTTAAAGTATAATGAATATAGTCATATTTGTCATTTTGTCTTTTTATTATATTGTGGTCATATCAATGATAACATATGGTTAATATCTTGGTATAAACAGATCTATGAATATTTTCATTTAGCTCTTTCATGTGTGCTCAAATATATAAAAATACATGAAAATGTTCACTTTTAGTATCTTTATGCTTATGTTTTAAAATTTACATTTTAATCTATGTGAATTTTTTTTGAGGGGGGCAAAAATGTGAAATAGATTTTCATCGGTTTTCACACATTCAGATTCCATGGGCCAGCCTACACGCTTGATCCAGAGCATGGTTCTACCTGTTTACATCTATATTCAAATGTAAGATGTCTGATAATAAGAACCAGAAAACTACCTTGACTATCCCTCACTTGACCTTTCTTTTATAGCAGACTCACAGTTCTCTTACTTTAGGTTGAGGTTTATCAATGAGGTTCAGCATGCTTAGGCAAGTATTTCAAAGAGAGCATGTGAGTATATTTAGAGTAGATGAATACAAGAAAGGGGTTATTAAGCTTTCAGCACACATAGCAGGACATATATTATTTTTATATACTTCCTGTTATTCTCTGTAGTTTTACCTGTACTTTATTATGTGATTAACAAATCTCTTTCTTTGTCAACCAGGCCCTCGTTAATCAAGTGGCAGCAACTGTTTACAATCGTTATACTAAAAATATGCCAAGTGGTGAAACTCTATGTGGTGTTTTTACAAGGGATTATCGTCATGATGCCCTAAACTGTCAGGTAGGATATATTAATTCATGCATTTGTTATCAAATTATACAGTAGTACTTATATGACTTTTTCACTAGAAATTCAACATCTTCACAAGGCCTAATGGAAATAATTTTTTTGAATTTACAAAAAATGAAGTGGCTTTAGAGAAAAGTTAATATTTTTATATTCAGAGAGTGAGAAATAGAACTAATCTTTTTTTTAGGACACTTAGATTTTGATTTCATATTTCAGTTATAGTTCACTGCATCATATTGGTTTGTAACTTGATTCAGAATGATCTGAAGAATCCAATGTTATAAAAGTATTAATAAACATCAATTACCTAATCAGAATTACTTTTTATTGATATGTAGGGTTTCCTTACTTTTCTTGATGAGTAGGATACTCACTGTAATTTTTAAAATGTCATATTATGGATAGAAAACTGGGTGTTAAATAAATCATACACAATTTTTCTCCTTATTGAACTCATAGGTAAACAATTAAGACTAGACAAAAAGTGAAAACATGATTATAGAACATTGTATAGTAGACATGGAGATGTGTTGCCCAGATCACCTCTTAAGGAGGTACTTGTTGCCTAGATGTAGGAGTGTGGTCATGACAGATGTCACTTCTCCCAGTTCTGCTTCCATAATATGTATCCTGTGACTGAGCTAGACAGGGGTATAAACACTGGGCCATTTTGGCTTCATATGGAATTGCTCTGACAGCCAATATTCACTGCAGAATTTTGAGCCACATTGGCCAAGGCTTCCTCAGGCCTGTTTTGAAGTTTAGCTTTTCCCTCTGCCCTACTGTGCTTCCCCCCACTTCCATAGTTGTTGATTCTTTATAAACATTTTTCAACCTAAATTGTATTTTGGAGTCAGATTTTGAAGAAATAAACCTGTGACAATTAATTCTTTCTATTTCTTATTACTTTGAATGTTCATAAATAAGAATTTAAATTTCAAATCTGGTATTTTACCATTTTGACCCATAAAATAACTTGTAACTTCATAAAGTTCCAACTAATATATCACAATTTTAATGAAACATCAGAAGCAATATTGTATCCTACTTATCAGGTGGTACATTCAGGAGTTATAACTCTATATTCTTACAGCTATGTTTTCACATAGTAAGTGCTCAAAATGTTTGTTTATAAAATGTGATTATTTTTAGGTACTTATCACAGTGCCTGCCTGCCTTGAAATTCTGCTGTTAGCTCCTCATCGCCAAGCATGGGTGAAAAGGATCAGATATGTTATATTTGATGAGGTAGGTTTGGTATTATGTACCTGGGTGATTTTCTAGTGTACATAAGCACTATAGTGAAGGTCTTTGGTGCTTGAGGACATTTGTCCCTTTGTATGGCATTCAAGTTGGGGAGGCACTTCCTTCTGAATGGTTTTCCCAGTGAATCATACCGCGTCTTTTGGCTCCTCGTTCCTGTTGTGGCTCAATAGGGTATATCAGTGTATTGGCAGAGCTCTGTATTGGAGAGGAACCTGTCATTAGTGCCTACTGTTTCAGAGGAGCAGAAATAACCACCATGGCATAAGTTTTCCTAAACAGATGTCAAGCAACAGATTTTGGGCTATAAAAATGATGACACTTATATAAGTTATTTTATCAGTCACGGTCCCAATTGCAAACAAGTGGCACACTCAAAATACAATTCAAGAAAAGTATTTCCCAAAGGTGTGCGTGAGGGAAACTATAAATGTTAGTGCAGTAATTCAGAACTAGTATCTTGGCCCTAGCCTTAAAGGGACAAGGCAAAGAAGCAGTTACTGAGACTCAAAAGGAGATTCTGATTAAATTGGCCACGTTGTGAGGAACAGTTCCCTTAGTTGAAGGACATAGCTAGCCCAAAGTAATCTGTCAGGAAGGGAGGAAATAGAATAAAGGCCTCACTCTTATTCTCCTCCCTTCTCTTCTCCTGCCAAGGCTGTCCATTGGTCAAATACACTGGAACCAGAGAGCACTGGAGCACTTTTTAAGTAGTCTCCATAAGTTGGTTTCCTTTGGCAGAGAGAGCAGAGTAGAAAACAATGGAATTTTATAGGGGAAAATAGGAAATATTTAGGAAAAAATTTTAGCATTATTAGGAATATTTATTCCAAGAAACTTAAAACAAAAGGATATGTTTTGCTCCAAAAATTTTCAATTTAAAGGGAAAAAAAACAATGTCTGTATTTAACTTAACTTTTCCTGTTGTAAATGTGGGGCTACCAAGCAGGCGGTGCTTTTCATTTGTTTGATACTGATTTTTAGATAATCTGTGTATATTGTATTTTGAGGGCCTGGATTATTTCTGTTAAAAAAAAAATCCATCAACTTTGTCTTTGCAGTCTAGAACCTTGAATTGTACTCTAACCTCAAAACCCTGAAATGATATGAAATTTTTATAAAAGGGTAAAGTAGAAAGGTTTTGAAGGCTAATGTCTATTCTGGTGGGATCAGGGGAAAGTGCTATCTAGTACAAAGCATAAAGTGAATATTCAGCAGAGTGGTATATTATCTGACCAAAGCAGAGCCAAATGGGCAGTGGAAAATTTTGTTTTAATTATCTGATTCTGATAGTAAGTACTTTCCAGTTGATCTCTAGGGGTCATAATTTAATCTGTTTAAAGAAGACCACATTTGAGAATCTAGTTCAGTTTCAAAAGACATTCATTTCTTTATTCAGCAAGTATTTAAGGAATGTCTCCTCAGTGCCAGGCTCTGTTATCTGTTAGTACTGGGAATTCCCAGGTTGAAGGTCACAGAGTAATTGAAAAAAGGGAATTAAACAATTAAGCACACCAATGACTATGCCAGCCCACACTGGCACATGGTGTGAAGGAAAGGAGCTGGCTGCCATGACTGTGACAATGGCTGGGAGACGGTAGGAGGACAACTCTGAAACCGGACAGCAGGAACGTCTTTCTAATAGAGTGACATTAAGCTGAATTTACAGCTTGAAAAGAGGGGGTGAAAGCATTTTAAGCAGAGGGAACAATATATATGAAAGCTCTAGAGCAGGAAATTTCTGTTTCAGGAAGAAAGAAAAGGCTAGTATGTCTGCAGCAAAGTGGGAGCAAGATGAGAGACAGTGGCTTGAGATGAAGCTAGAGAGGCAAGCAGGGGCCAGATTATTCCAGGCAGCACACGCCTTGTTAAGGAGTTTACATTTTGTTCCACATGTAATAGCAAGATATGGAAGAAATTGAATTAGGGACATAGCCTAATCTATCTTTTAGACCCATCATTTTGGCTGTGATGTGAAGAATGTAGGGGGCAGGAAGGGAGCTAGGAGAATAGTCAGGAGGAGATTGTGATATGTGATGGTGGCTTAGTGGGTAGAAAGCATGGAGATAAATACATAGAGTACAAAGGAAGTTTTGAAAGTAAGATAAAGAGGAATTGTTGATGGATTGATTGTGAGGACTAGAGAAAATTTACGGGTGAAGATTTTCTAAGGCCTGAATTTGCAAATATTTATATGCATTTAACATGGTTGGTTAGAGGTAAGAGATAACTATGTATGAAACTTTAGGCTTCCATATCTTATTTTCATGAGCTATTTTCTTTTTTACACTTAAGAAATGTTTTATTTAGCTTTTTTTTGAGTATATATATTTTTTTGAGTATAATTTACATGCAGTAAGAGCACAAATTTTAAAAGTATAGTGTGACTAAGTTTACATATGTGTATACTTATGTAATCATCACCCAGATTGAGATGTTAAACATTTCCATCACTCCAAAGGTTCTCTTGTGCCCCCTCCTAGTCAGGGCCCACAACCAGAGGTAACCACTAGCCTCTCTTCTGTCACCAAATTAATTTTGCTTCTTATACTTCATATAAATGGAATCGTATAGTATGTTCTCTTGTTCCTGGTTTCTTTTATGCAACAAAACATCTGTGAGTTTTATCTACAATACATTCTTGTTTGTGTTTGTAGTTCATTCCTTTTTATTGCTGTGTTGTATTCCACTGTATAAATATTCCACAATTTATTTATCCATTAACCTATTGATGGGTATTTGAGTTGTTTCCAGTTTGGAGTTATTATGAATATAACTTTTGTGAATATTATTTACATGTCTTATGGTGGACACATGCAACATTTTCTCTATATCTGTATCAGAAGTAGACTTTGGGACATAGGAGAGACATGTATTTAGCTTTTGTAGATATTGCTAAACAATCTAACAAAGGAGTTCAACCCACTTACTCTTATCAATATGTATGAGAGTTCCCATTGCTTGACATGCTTGCCAACATGTGCTGTGATCAGTCTTTTTTGTTTGTTTATTTTATTTATTTATTTATTTATTTATTTTTAGTTTCAGGTATACAAAACAATGCAACATTATAGTTTTCACCCCTTACAAAGTGACAACCCTCCTCCCCCAATCCACCGCCCCACCCCGCCATATCATACATATCTATTACAATTCCATTGACTCCACTCCCACGCTATACTACACATTCCATGACTATATATATATATATATATATATATATATATATATATATATATATTAAATTATAGTTGACATACAATATTATTCAATGTCAGCTTCAGGTGTACAGTGCAGTGGTCAAGCCACTATACCGTCCTGAAGTGGTTTCTCTACCAAGACATGTGTCCATCTGACACCCTACAAAATATTTACAACCCTATTAATTGTATTTCCCAAACTGTCTTTTATATCCCTGTGGCAATATTGTAGTTAACAATTTATGCTGTCTAATCCCTCCTGCTTCTCCCTCATCCCCACCCCCTCCCATCTAGCAACCATCAGTTTTTCCTCTGTGTCTCTGAGACTATTTCTATTTACTTTGCACATTTATTCAGTTATTTAGATTCCTCATATAAGTGAGATCATATGGTATTTGTCTTTCTCCGACTGTTATGTTATCTCATGTAACATAATGTTCTCTAGGTCCATCCATATCATTGCAGATGGTAAAATTTCATTCTTCTTTATTGCTGAATAATACTTCATTGTATAAATGTACCACAGTTTCTTAATCTAGTCATCTACTGAATGGCATTTCAGTTGTTTCCAAGTCTTGGCTATTGTAAATAGTACTGCAGTAAACATAGGGGTGCGAATATTTTTTGGAATTAGCATCTTGGATTTCTCTGGATAGATCCCTAAGAGTGGAATTGCTGAGTCATAAGGTAGTTCCATTTTCAGTTTTTTGAGATACCTTCATACTGATTTCCATAATGGCTGCACCAATCTGCAGTCCCACCGACAGTGCATGAGGGTTCGCTTTTCTCCACATCTTCACCAGCAATTATTGTTTGTTGGTTTATTGATGGCAGCCATTCTGACCGGAGCGAGGTGGTATCTCATTGTGTTTTTTATTTGCATTTCTCTAATGACTAGTGAGGTTGAACATTTTTTCATATGCCTGTTGGCCATCTGTTCTCTTTAGAGAACTGTCTCTTCATATCCTCTGCCCATATTTTACTTGGTTGTTTGTTTTTTTGGTATTGAGTTGAATGAGTGTTTTATAAATTTTGGATATTAACTCCTTATCAGATATATTGTTGGCAAATATCTTCTCCCATTCAGTAGGCAGCCTTTTTGTTGTATTGATGGTTTCTTTTGCTGTGATAAAAGACTTTTAAGTTTCATGTAATCCCATATGTTTATTTTTTATTTTATTTCCCTTGCCCGAGGGGATATATCAGCAAAAAATATTTCTCAGGGTAATGTGTGCAAATTTACTCCCTATGTTTTCTTCTAGAGTTTTATGGTTTCAGATCTTTAATCCATTTTGAATTTGTTCTCATATATGGTGTAAGTAGGTGGTCCATTTTCATTTTTTTTGCATGTGTCAGTCCAATTTCCCCAGCAACATTTACTAAATAGACTATCTTTACTCCAATGTAAATTCTTACTTTTGTTGTCATAGATTAAATGAGCATATTTGGATGAATTTATTTCTGGGCTCTCTATTCTGTTCCATTGATCTATGTATCTGCTTTTATGCCAGTACCATACTGTTTTGATTACTATAGCCTTGTAGTATAATTTGATGTTGGGTAGCATGGTACCTCCCACTTTGTTCTTATTTCTCAAGATTGCCATGACTATTTGGGGTCTTTTATGGTTCCATATAAATTTGAGGATTATATGCTCTATTTCTGAGAAAAATGTCCTTGGTAGTTCGATAGGAATTGTGTTTAATATATATATTGCCTTAGGTAATATTGACATTTTAACTATTTTAATTCTTCCTATCCATGAACATGGTATGTATTTGCATTTATTTGTATCATCTTTGAATTCTCTCTTCAGTGTCTTATAATTTTCTGAATACAGGTCTTTTACTTCTTTGGTTAGATTTATTCATAGGTATTTTATTGTTTTTGAAGCAATTGTAAATGGGATTGATTTGTTGATTTCTTCTTCTTAGTTTATTATTGGTGTATACCAACGCAACTGATTTCTGAATAATTATTTTGTATCCTGCTACTTTACTAAGTTTCTTTATCAGTTCTAATAGCTTTTTGGTGGAGAGTTTGGTATTCTCTCTATATAGTGTCATGTCATCTGCATATATTGACAGTTTTATTTCCTCCTTTGCAATTTGGATGTCTTTTACTTCATTTTCTTGTCTGATTGCTGTAGCTAGAACTTACAGAACTATGTTGAATAAAAGTGGTGAAAGTAGTTTGCTGTTGAGTTGCTGTTTAATTGCTTTAGGCTTGTCAGATGGTGGGATTGACCCTCAGAATGATAGCTGGGAGAATTAGCTGTGTTTGTAATGTATGAGATGCCATGTGGAGGTTGACCCGGTCAGAGGAGGCTTGTCCACTGTGGGCTCATGTGCCTGTGGAAAATTTTCTTTAAGAGTGCCTCTTGTAGGTTTAACCAGGTAGTACTCTGGTTTTGTCTAACACTGATCTCTGGGTGTATTGGTTCTCATGTCTCTTGGGTGGGGCTTCCACTCAGCCATTTCAGCCCTGTCTGTTACCAGCCCGTAGCTACCTGGTAGGTGCCTCAAGGCTATACGCAGTTGGCTGCTGCCCGTGCTGGAGCTGGGGTCATGTGGGGATGTTCTCTGTGTGAACTGAGGTTGGCTGCCACCAATATTGATCCTGAGGGAGTTAAGGCCCAGTGCCCCCTCGGATGTTGTCATCTATCATATGCCAGTAAGGCCCAACTATTAAAAGAGGCTCTTTAGGAGCATTTGTCTGGCAATCTGACCTGGTGTTGAGGGTTCCCTCAGTGATGTGTCACTAGCTTGGCAGGTTGGAGTTCAAATGTGTTATGAGACATGATTGGTGGTTTTAAGACGTTAAATGCAGATTCAGGTTTGCCTGGCCTGTGATCCCCTTGTATAGCGTCCCTAGGGCACTACAGCCAGCCTCCACCTCACGCTCACATATTCATGAAAGCTGCTCCTGAGTGGCTGTGGTGTAGCTTTGTTGTCACTGATCACCAACAAGATGACCCCAGGGCTCTGCAGACCACCTTCTGTTTTAAACAACCTTTTCCACAGTTTGTAGGGGGGGTGGGCAAGTCACCCTGCACTTTGATTGCTCCTTGCAATGCAGCTGTAGGTGGGCAAAGTGGTGTTACAGGTGCATAAAGGCTGTTGTCAGTGGTTTTTACAAATTCAGTGTAGTGTCAGCTCCTGGACCAGTGCTAGGTCCACGTCCACTTCATAAAACAAAAACAAAGCAAGGCAACCTAACAACACCAAGAAAACAAATACACCCCCACAAAAACAAGATAAGCAATGATCAGACAGGAGAAACAAAAATATATAAAAGAGACAAAAACACAAATACAAACACAGGAGAAAAAGAAAGAAAAACAGTGATCAAAACAATAACCAGATAAACAAGCTTGAAAAACAATGACAAAAAGAAAACAGATGAAAGAAGAAAAAGGAACAAAAAGATGAAAGAGAAAGAAAAGAAAAAAATAAAAATAAGTAAAGAAGGGGGGGAAAATGGAAAACAAAGAAAACAGAGGGAAAAAAAAGTCTCTCTGCCCGCTTTAATCTGCAGACGAGTTGCTCAGCAATAGAGAGTCTCTGGGCACCTCACCACCTGCTGTGTTGTGGGAAGGGCCCAAAGCGTTGAGATCCAGCCTCCCTCTCAGGCTTTCAGTGAGCTTCCTGCAATTAGCTGCTGTGTGCCCTGGGGCCATGCTCACCACCAAAAATCCTCACAGGTTGCTATGGGCTGTCTGCCACTGCAAAAACCCTCTGTGGCCTTTGGAGATGGGGGCCAGGCAACAGGGGCTCAGGGTGTCCCTGACAACGCAGCTCTAGGTGAGCAGGTGTCGCGAGCACCTGAAAGGATCAGTCGCCACACTGTAGTCTCTTCCTGGAAGTCAAGGGGACATTAACCACTCAGCGGGGCCCTATGTCCCTGCATGGTACTTGTGATGCGAGTGGGGAACAAAGTCCCGACACACAGGTTCAGATAGAGTGAGTAACACGCTTTATTTGGAAACCAATGTCCCTCCAGAGACCAATGCACTGGTAAGCACAGAGGGTTATACAGAATAGAATAGAATTGAATAATGAACCAAGTCCCAGTCAATCGAGATGGAGACAGTCCCTGGTCCAGGAGAGATGACTGGGCCCAGAATGGGCTGGAGGCAAGCTGGTCTTGCAAGGCAGAACTTGGGAGAGTCCCGGAGTATATCGCAGCTTGCATCTCAGAGGGTCTTAGCCAAAGTGCCCAGTCAGACTGCTCATGGCATTGCTCTGGAGTTCTACTTTTATCCTCTTTTCCTTGGACTTGTTAACTTCTTAGGTTATAACCAGAAGTTGTTTTGGTGAATGTGTTTACCACTCAATTTTGTTATGCTCAGTTTCACACAAAAACATAAACATGTTCATTTTCATGTATATGGTCTACACATAAACATGTTTACTTTCAACTTACTCTTGTCAGTCTCACACATATGCAGCCTGGCTTGTGTCCCTACTAAGTAAACAACTTGTGTTGCAAACCTAAATCCAAAAACAACCTGGTTTATAGTCTATTTTATATGCTGTATACAGCAGGACAGGCCCCCAAGGCACCACGGGGTGTGGTCAGTGGCCCCCATCAAGTCAGAGCAGCCTGCACTGGTACACCGGCAACCAGCCCACACAAGCGTGCCATGAATGCTCCAGCCAGATCATGCAGGCACATAGCTCCTGGCCCAGCACTCCCAGGAAAACTCCTCTCAGCCTGTCCCAGTCAGCCACTCGCAGATCAGGCAGCGCAGTCCAACAGCGGGCGCCACCCTGGCAATTCTGCATATGCCGTGTGGAGAGTGGGGAGCCAAGGCTGCTCACGTGCATCTGCGTCTCAATGAGTAGTAGCCTGTTGGAGCCTGAGCACGCCTGCCAGGTTTTTCTCTGGCTATGCAGCACAAGCAGTGTGGAGAGTGGGGATCCAAGGCCGCATGCGTGCACGTGCACACATGCACTCCTGCGCCAATTCCAGCAGACCAATGTGGTGCTGGACCTGACTCTCTGTGGGAGGGCCCAACCTTGAAAAAATGGCATACTCCTGTATACTACTCATGTGCAAGCTCCACACGGGGAACAATGGTTCCAAAACCTCCAGCTCCTGCGCCAAAGGCACTCTGTTCAGTCCTTCCCCACAGGCTCCTGGGCCCCACTCACACAGCTACTCCCTCCACCAGGGACCGGGTGAGTGCTCACCAGTGAGTGAGCCCATGTGCTGGCTCCACTGGTTCTCAAGCTGCCCTCTGCCTCATCGAGTTGAGCAAAGAGAGTCTTCACTAATTTCTACTGCCAGCTATCATGGAACTCCTCTTCCTGGCAAAGTAACTCTGGGCTGGTGAGCTCAGTGTGGGGCTGGAGGGTCCCTCCCCAAACAGGAGAAGCCTCTCCACCACTGAGGTGTCCCTCACGGGGTTCGCCCTCTCTCTGTGGGCCTGGAGTCAGCCTGCCTCATGTCTCTGCCCCTCCTACCAGTCTCGACACGGCCTCTTCTTTAAATCCTTTGTTTAGAAGTTCTGTTCATGTAGTGTTCAGGGGACTTTGAGATTGAATGTCATATAAATTATTTGTAATTTTGGTGTGATTCTGAGAGGCAGCTGGCACAGCGTCCGTCTATTCTGCCATCTTACCGGAAGACTCTCATGAGCTATTTTAAAAATAACTTTTTAATGGAGAAATTTTTGTCTTTCATAGGTCCATTGTCTTGGTGGAGAAATTGGAGCAGAAATTTGGGAGCATCTCCTTGTCATGATCCGATGTCCCTTTCTGGCTCTTTCTGCTACGATAAGCAACCCTGAACATCTCACTGAGTAGGCATTAGTTTCAAGTTTGGATACAATGGTTATCTATTTTGAGCATTTGAATGTTGTATTTCCTATATAGTTTTTGAAGAGTTTCATAACTTTCTAGTGAATTTGTTAACTTATCTGTGATATTTAAGGAACAGAGACTCTGTAGCACCTCCTGACAGGTGCTGAGCAAGGCCATATTTTATAAAGGAAACTCAAGGACTCTCCCAGCCAAATCTGCAATTAAGTAGGAAACTTCCCCTATCTCTCAAAAGCTGTTCACCAGAAGTGATAAATATATGTTCCTTTTCCTTTGTCCTTTACCAAGAAGTAAAAAGAAAATGGAATAATGACACACTCTCCCCTGGACCTTGAGATTTTCATTATTGTCCCACTTTGTAAATGTTTAGATAGCAAAGCCTTATTACTCATAGTTGGAAGCCCCATATCATGTTGTCTTTGAGCTACATTTTTGCCCACTAATAATAACAATTCTAGCAAATACTCCCATGTGCCAGGCACTGTTCTAAATGCTTTGCATATATTTATTTTAAATGCCCAACAACCCTTATGATTTACTATTTTCATTATTACTACTATTAGATAACATTTTCAATACTGCTATTATTATTCCATTTTAAAATGTAGCAAGTGAGGCATAGAGAGATTAAGTGATTTAACAAGAGCCATGGCTAGTAGTAAGGTGGACAGGATTCTATCTCAGGTAGTCAGGTTCCAGGGCCTATTTCCTTAAGCACAGTTTTTAAGGCACATGAAACATTTCATTATTTAAAATACTTGATGTCACAGGAAGTGGTTCCATGTTCTGCCTAAATAATATGTAAATTTATTTTTTAAGGTGGCTGCAATCAGTAAAACGGTACTGGAAACAAATAGACGATGTAATAGAAAAAAATGCTGCTTCTAAAAGAAATGCTAACTGTCGTGCCAATTTTCACAAAGACTACATGCAAAGGAAGCAATCATATAAAGTTAGACTTGGTATGTTTAATATATTCATAGGAGTTTTATCCTTTAGAATTATTTTAGTCATTGCATATTCATTCATTTGGAAATTCTTGTTCATTTTTAGTGATCTATGGAGAGAGATACAATGATTTAGAGAAGTACATATGTTCAGTAAAATGTGGTGACATTTGTTTTGATCATTTTCACCCATGTGCTGCGCTAACAACAGATCATGTAAGTGATGCTGAAGCCATATTTGTTCTAAGTAATAGAAATTATTTGTATATATCACAATTGAAAAGCAGCCTAGTTGATACTTATCAGTATTAAAGTGTAGATACTGCATAACAGATATTTAACCTTAGTTTTAAAAGTAACAAGAATGACTTTATAGTTTTCACTGGTTCCTCAATGGTGTCTGGATCCACAAACTTAAAAATGGCTGAAAATTTTCACCTGAAGTTTTTTGGTTAATTTTATTTATTCTTGAACATTATCTTTGCCCTTTTTCTTTCTTCTTAGCATCCATTGTCTATCTGTCCACTTCTCTGAAACTAGCTCTTCCCTTGGTCAGCTACAACTGTACATGGACAATAACTAGTACTGTGAGAATCTGACCACCATGAAGTAAGATAAACGAGGAAGAGACACTTTTCACTAATGTATCAATAGCAACATAAGTTTTTGGTAGTGAAGCAATAAAATGGAGATCTTAAAGGGGTCTCATTTGAGGCACTGGGGTTTGAGTAGGGGAAGATTTCTTAATTTTTTTTGCATGTTTTTCTTCCTTTCTCATCCTTCTCCCAGGAATGGGCTATTCAAGCTCTGGTTGCTTCTCAAAGTGATAATTAGTCAATACTTTGTCTTCCTTCCAAGATCTAGCAAGTTAAATATATTCTTAATTCTGTTGTCATATTAAGCCTTCTAATCTGACAATTTTTAAGGCACATGAAACTTTCTTTATTTAAAATATTTGATGTCACAGAAAGTAGTTCCATGTTCTGCCTAAATAATATTTTTGGATCCGCAAGGCTAATTTAGATAAATAATAAAGATAATTCTGATTTTACCAAGCCTTTAGTGGCTTTCCTTTAGAAATGGCTAAATGCACAGCTCCTACCTCGGCTTCCAAGGTCTTCTAGGACCTGGCCCCAAAGTCCTTTCTATTCATCCACTCGATGTGTCTTACCTGGATGCCCTCATGATTTATATTGTTCCTAGAATATTTCACACCAGATGCCAAATGCCAGTTGTTTATCTTTTAGGACTCTTCTAATGTGAAACCTCTTCAGAATCCATCTAGGACTTTCTTAGCTGACGTAATCTCTCCATGGCACCTTATCTGCATTTCTTATATGACAACAATCATGGTCAACTTGCTACTAAAGTTGTTTACATTCATGTCTTCTTTATCTTACTAGAACTCCTTGAAGACAAATTTTGTGTCCTTATAATTCCTAACAAACTGCTATGTGTATAAAAGGTGAAAAGGTGCTTAATAAATGTATGTTAAAGAAAGATAGCCATACTAAGTTGGCACTTCTTTGTGTTTTAAGAATTTTACATATTTTGTCTCTTTTAACTATCGCAACAGTTTTAAGATGGATGCTTTATTGATTTTTCCCAATTTACAAATGAGGAAGGTGAGTCATACAGAACTTAACTAACTCACTGTTGCACCATTAAGTAAGTTGTGGGTCCAGGATGCAATCTCAGATTGATTCCAGAGCCTGCTCTCTCATTGTGTTCTGAATGGTCTGTTGAACAAAAACCTGAATGAGGGAATGAAGGAGAATCACTTTATAGGCTTTGGGCTCTGACAATGGCTTCTAAAAGCAACCAAGTGAATCCTAATGATGGCGACTTTCTAATTGGATTTCATTATGGCACTTTCTCTTTTGTGTGGCAATGGCTCAATCCAAAATATAAACAAAACTAAAATATGGACAAAATTCCAGTGACCTAACTCATACCTCAAAACTATAATATAGATGATAACCCATACATAGATAATAGGACTCCTTTCTTTCTCTCTCTTTCTTTCTCCCTCCCTCCCTCTCTCACACACATACTCTCACTCTCTCCCCTCTTCATCCCTCCCTCCATCTCTCTTTTCTTTCTCCATTATTACCTGGCATTTTAAAAACAGCATGGTATTTTTAAAAATTACTTATTTTATGTGGGATGGTTCAAGGCAAGTTATTTTTCAGTAGCAACAAGGGCAGTGGTTTGGAATACTTGGCAAGATTGTTATTTTGGTCCCAGTGCCTTTCCTTTATTCTCAGTAGCTATTAATGAAGTAACTGGAAAGCAGTGGAACTGCTACAGTGTGCTCTGACCCCATATGACTTCTGCAAAGGACATGCTGTTGTGTGGATCTTCTTAAGACTTTTGGACCTTTGCAACAGGAATACAGAATGAACACAAAGGCTTGGACATCGTTAAATATGTTTCGATAGCTGTGTGTGTAGCATGTGTTTACATAGGATGTTTCCTAAAGTAACAGTGATAAAAAGCAAGTAGAACGTTCCAAATTAGTAAATAATAAGTATGTAGTATACTTCCAATTAATATGAAAGGACTGAGTTGCCAAAAAAGCATGATAAATTATAGCAACATAAAGAGAAGTCCACCTTCGTTGACTCCTCTCTAGCTCTATCACAGAAATGATTTCTGAAGGGAACAGGTGGGCAGAATGAGCGAGCTGACCTTAATCCAGCTGAGGTAAGGGATTGCCTTCAATCCATACAAGGCTTGTTTCTGGCAAAGAGCAGAGTCTGGCCTTTGCCACCAATTATGCCACACAGAACAGCTGCTCGCTCCTAGAGAGCTCTCAGCCCCAGGAAGTCCTTGAAATAACTGTTGCCAGGCTCTGTTCAGCATGGATCAATGCTTATCATCAACTATGGAGTTAGGGATAATGTGATTTGCAAAAATGACATCATGGTATAATACTATTGTGTTTATAAATGAAGAATGATACAAATCTATGACTTCTTAAAAATTAACTTTTTTGGGCGTGACATTGGTTAATATCATTCTATACGTTTCAAGTGTATAATTCTGTAATACACTATGACCTTTTATTTCTCTTCCTTTGCTACCTAGGCTGGCTTAGTGTTTGCCAGCTCATTAGTTATTGCATGGTAGAGAACTGAATTGAATTCCCAGCTTTTAAGCCATAGATTTGTGAAACTGAATTAAAAAATGAAGAACTATATGTTGATTAATCAATCACTTTGACAGTTGAGGAATCCACCATGTGCCAGGTATTTTACTAGGCCTATTATATATATTATCTAACTTAATTCTTAACAACAAATCTATGTCATAGACAGAATTGTCCTCCATTTGAGAAATGAGGAAACTCAGGCTCCTGCACAAGGCTAAGAGACTTAAGACATCATAAGCACTCTAGTGACCAAAATGGAAGATTTAAGTCTGAAAAATTATGATAATTCTTGGATTAATTTTATGTTTTCTTAAGGTAAAATAAGTTACCACTTTCAAGTAGTAATAATAAGAGAACAACATGCTAACATTCCAAAATAACACATTCATTTACTATTTTGTCAAAATGTGGTCCTTACTATCTAGCTAGCTTTCAATGCTCAAACTGAGAGATGCTAAATGATGATTCCATTCAATTATTTGCATCCTATAGTTTTTTACAAGTCTAATTCAAAACCTGATTGGTTTTCTTAATTAAAATATACTTAACATATAACATTGTGTAAGTTTAAGGTGTACAAAATGTTGATTTGATGAATATACATATTGTAATATGATTGTCATTGTGGCCTTAGCTAAAACCTCTATCAAGTCACATAATATTTCTTTTTTGTGGCAGGAATAATTAAGATCTCATCTCCTAGCATTTTGATGTTTACAATACAATATTGTTCTCTATAATCACTTTAGTGTGCATTAGATCTTCAGGACTTATTTATCTAATAGTTTTAAAAGTTTAAAGACATGAGCTGATACATTTACCCTGTTTGATTTTACCACAGTCTATAAGGTGGAAGCAGAGATATTTTAATTCCTATATTATAGATGAGCAACTAGCATTTATAGGTGGAATTAGATATTCTGATTCAAAATCTACTGCACTTTCAATTCAACAAAAGAATTCCTTTTTCAACTATGTTGTGTTCAGAATGGCTTTTTTGGCTCAGAATTTACAAACTTGAGTTTCATAACTTGTTAATAGCTATTAATTGAAGCAATTATCCTATTTTCAAGTAATTTTGGAGAAATCCGCATACTATAGTCCCTTCTTTGAGATTTAATATTTCCAATGTGAAACCTTGAAGAAGCCTATTTAATAGAACACCTATGAAAACACACAACCCCTTTTCTTTTGAAGAATACCTATTAACATCCTGGGGATCATGGTTTCTCAGGCAATTGATTTGTGTCAAAGTGGATGAAAGCAGTAGAAAATACTACAATGCAAACTTTTCAAGAACAGGAAATTTTTACTTATACTTTAAAACACTTGTGAAAAAATTAAATGATGTGCATATCCAGAAGGCTTAAAGTAGAACCAAGTTAGTGACCTGGGGGAGAAGTTTCCTTGAAGTGTCTTGAAAGGGATCTGAGAACCTTACTTAGGCTTAAATTGACCCAGCTCTGATCTTGGAACTTAGCAAATAAAATTTGCTGCATTTTAGCCTGACTTGGTACTCAAAGCAAAGAACCATATTCATAATTAAACCAATTTCAGTTTCAGCTGAAATATTTTACTGTTTAAACTGAGTCCACAAATATTTTAGCTTCCCAGTACTCTGATTTGAAATGTGGAAGCAGTTCATAGAGAATTAGCCTAAATAAAAGGTCTTAGAGGGGCAGCCGGGTGGCTCAGTTGGTTAGAGAGCGTGCTCTGAACAATAAGATTGCCTGTTCTATTCCCACATGGGCCAGTGAGCTGTGCCCTCCCCAATTAG